TTTTCTTAATCCAGTCTTCAGTTGACGGGCATCTAGGTTGTTTCCAGGTTCTGACTATTTACAATTAATGCTGCTATGAACATAATTGAGCATGTATCTTTGTGGTATGATTCAGCATTCCTTGGGTATATGCCCAAATATCTTAAACATTTTTAAAAATCTGTCCTTAAAATAGCCAGTTGTGATGCACACACCTTTAAGTCTGGCTTTGGGAATCAAAAGCAAGCAAAGTAGTTCTCTGTGAGCGCAAAGCCAGCCTGGTCTACAGAGCGCGATCCGACAGGGAAAGCTACACAGTGAGACCATCTCAAAAAAAAAGTTAAAATACGTGACATTCTTTTCTCTCTCTCTTTTTTTTGCTTGCATTTTTTTTATTTTAAATGATTGAGGTTATAATTATATCATTTCTTCCTTTTTCTCCCTCCAAAGCCTCCCATGTACACCCCCTCCACCATGCTTTCTTTCAAATTCATGGCCTCTTTTTAAATCGCTGCTATGCGCACGCACGCGCACACACACATGCACACACACACACATACACACATGCACACACACACACACATACACACACACACACACACACACACACAGAGATTCTTAAATATATAAATACAACCTACTCGGTCTGTACCATGTTACCGGTATGTGTGTGTTTTCAGGACTGACCACTTGGTATTGGATAGCCAGTTGGTGACTCTGGGGCAGACTGTTTCTCTTGCTCCAAGCCTTCCTTAGTTGCCTGTAGTTCTTTGTCTGGGGTTGAGGCCTCCTGACCTTTCCCTCATCTATGTTAGTGTGTCTATTGGTGTTCTTGTTGAGGATGACATTCTAATAGTAGGAAAATGTATGGTGATCTTAGTTCTAAGAGTTTAGTTGTCTCCCTGTTTTATATTAAATAAAGCATCAGACACCATGTGAGTGGGGCTAAGGAATGCCTGCCTTGAGTGTTGAATGCATTAGAGTGTCTTATGGGGACATGCGAAAGTGTTCACTAGGATGGATGTTGAGTAATGACGAGGGAGAAGATGCTTTGGGGAAAAATATATTCTTCCTCCTCTTTAGGCCATGCTATAAATTGGCACAATTCTCAACATTTTGTCCAACTTCTGTCAGGAGAAATCTAACTCCCTCTGGAGTCTTTGCATCCATGTTTTTTTTTGTTTTGTTTTGTTTTGTTTTTTTTTTTTTTTTGCATCCATGTTTTAAAGTAGCATCCCTTCTCCTTTCTAGCTCATCAGTTTGAGATTGCTATTCCTGTTTTCTGGACCTTGAACACGAGGACTGTAAAGAGTAACTTGATTAATGCAACAGGATGCTTTAGAGCTCTTTTCTAATGTGGGTTCCCTTTGGCTCACTGCCAGACAGCAAAAGCCCAAACCAGTAAGTCCACCCATAATTAAAATGAACAGTAGATCTAACCCGAGAAAGAAGGTAAAACTTGTCGGAAGACACTTCCTGGGGTTTGTCTCAGAGAAAAATACCTAAGAAATGTCACTTGGGGCTGGAGAGCCAACAGCTCAGTAGACTCCTTTTGCAGAGAACCCAGGCTCAGTTCCCAGCTTTCACACAGCAGCTCACAACCTACAGAAAGTCTTTAAGTGCCGGCCTCAAAGGCTTTCTCCCAGAGTTCAAAGGGGCTACAACCAGCAAAGGAACTAATCTGAGGGATGGGGAATGAATCTACTCACAACATGCTCTTTCTATCCATGTCCTTTATTGTTCTGCCTCTGATCTCTCTGCTATTCTCTCTTTATTCTACCCCGAGTCTCTGAAGTTTCCAGTTTTTATACACATACAATCAGCAATTCTCTGGCCAAAGCAAGGTCACAAGGCTTGAATTCTTTCAGGGTCATAAAAGGCCGATAAGAGTTTACACGAGGCAGTGACTGTCAGGCTTTCTTTATGACTCAAGGAGGGAGGGACTAGTAAAAGCCTCAGTGAACTCTTAAAGGGAACAGGTCAAATGAGAGGGAGAGAGGCCTTAAATCAATTAGGGAAATCTAAGAAGGGGAAAGGGAATCCATGTGTAATACTGCATTCCTAAGTGTGGTTAGATAATAAGCTAATTAATAATCTGAGGTGAAAGTAAGTACGAAATGTTAAGAATTTGTTAGTGCGAGGTCAGCTTGTGGCAGCACTTTCCTATCTGGTGGCAGGGTGAGGCCAGGGCACACTTGTTCCCTGTCTATCTAAAGGCTGTGAATCAACAAATTCAGACATGTTGTAATTCTATGTCCTTGGGTGTCTGAGAATGTCTCAAATGAGATTCTTTTGTCTGGACACTTAGCACTGACCAAATGCCTGCCAGTGAAGATAACTGCTGGAAGGCAGACCTCTACCTTTACATTGGAGAAAGGAGCAAAGATCTGGTTGTGGGAAACAGGTTTTGACGTGTGACTGTTTTCACACATAGCTAGGGGATGTTATCAATATACCCCAAATGCATAGGGGAAATTGTGCCCAATAGATGATCAAACACTTCTAAACTGTCAGAAATAAATTACAATTTATTTGTAGCATATGAGAATAAGCTATGGCTTCTGCAGCAAGAAGTCTGTAGCAAGAAACAGCCAATTTATTCAAAAGGCAATAACTCCAACAATCCTTGCGTGATAGCTTAGTCCTCCACCAGAACCCTTGGTTCTGATAGGTTGACCTTTATCAATGACAGCTGAATCCCTACTGCACAATCCTGAGGCCTGTAATACCTCATGATAATGGCTCCTGACAACCATCTGTAATTTGGGTTCCAGGAGGTCTGATGCCCTCTTCTGGTTGCCAAGGTCATTGCATTCATGTGGTGCATGTACACACATAAAGGCAAACACTCATACACATAAAACAAGAATAAATGTGTCTTTTAAAAGAAAAGAAATGTAGCCTATTTTGGGGTCTGGCAAGATGGATCAGTGAGTAAAGGTGCTTGCTGTACAAGCTTGGAGACCTGAGTTCAACCACTGGAACCACAAAAAGGTAGGAGAAAAACTCCACACAAGTTGCTCTCTGACCTCCACACCATGTGCACACACACACAATAACAACAAAGATTTAATATTCACTTGAACAAATGTAGCTTATTTTAAGGGTATTTTAGTAGCGCTTTCGTGTATTTAACCTGGTGATTTATTTGGATTGAGATTTCCATCTGAGAGCCCGAGTTATCAGTAACACAGGAAGACTGAAGAGACACCAGTATGAAAGAGCAAGAGGCAATTAAAGTTCAGGATTTTAATGAGGTAAGAAATGAAAATAGAAGACGATACTCTACTTTGAGACAGGTTCCATACAGCCAGCCTGGCTACAAACTCACCATGCAGCCAAGGCTACCCTTGAACGCCTAATCCCCCTGCTTCCACCTCTCATACCCAGCTTGAAAAGATAATCCTTCAGTTATCTTTCTTCCTTTTCTTTTTTTGAGACAGGGTTTCTCTGTGTAACAGCTCTGGCTGTCCTGGATCTCACTTTATAGACCAGGCTGGCCTTGAACTCACAGAGATCCGCCTGCCTCTGCCTCCCGAGTGCTGAGATTAAAGGCGTGAGCCACCACCACCTGGCTCAGTTATATTTCTTAATACATGCGAGACAAACCACGTAAGAATGCACATAACACTGCAGACAGGCAGAGAGAGGAAGCACAGGTCTGGGGATGGTCCATCTCCAGCTCATTCTGGTGAAAAAGAAGTCGGGGAGGCTTGTGGAAACCATTGGGATGATTGAACTTACTGCTTCACCTTAGATGGTGAGAGTTCAGAGCAATACCTCGCATTGTCTCTGAGCAGAGTGTCCGTATATGTCCAGGCACTGTTGTCCTTGGTTTTCATCAGAGGAAACTGAGGCTAAGAATGATGAAATAGCCAGCTCTTACACCATTGGTGCTAAAACAGAGGGGCACAGCTCTGCCCTACCAGGTGTGTTTGCCCTTGACGGCCTGTTCTTTCCATGGAGCACGTCAAGGGGGTTCTCACTCTGTGCTCGCTAAGGCACATTTTGATTTTAGGCAGATTCCCTGGTAGGCTTTATACCCAACAAAAAGTGTACATGGATGTGGCTGTTCAGAATAGAAATTAAAAGTAAGCACTTATGAAATGTAGACTTGAAAGTCAGCAATAGCTGTATGACCTTAGAAAATGACGTAACATCTGAGACCTATGTCCTACAGGGGGGGAAAATGTGATGATAGTTACGTTCCTATCCCATAGTGATCCTTCAGAAACAGTGAGATAATCTATGTAGAGCCTTCACCATAGTGTCTGATGCATGATAGACCCTGAGCAAATGGCAGCTATTACAATTATTACCTCAGTTATCATCAGTGTTTCATTTGGGAAGATTCTGTCAATATCTAACATTTGGGGCCTGGGGAAATGGCTTAGAGTGGTGGTTCTCAACCTTCCTAATGCTGATAACACATCTCCTCATGTTGTGATGACCCCCAGGCATAAAATTGTTTTCATTGCTACTTTGTAACTGTAATTTTACTACTGTTATGATTTGCAATGTAAATATCCGATATGCAGGATGGTCTCTGGTCACCCCTGTGAAAGGGTCGTTCATGACCCCCTTTGGGGGGTTGACCCACAGGCTGAGAACCACTGGCTTAGGGGTAAAGGTGCTTGCTGCCAAACCTGACACCTTGAGTTTGATTCCTGGGACCCATATAGTAGAAGAAGAAAAGTAACTCTCAGAAATTGCCCTCTGACAAATATTGTGTGTGTATTCTCCCTCCCACTAAATAAGTAATAAAATTTAAATATATTTAGTACATGGTTAACATTTATAAAATGCCTTCAGAGCCACATATTACACCTACCATGGTAGCTGTGCTGTAGGCAGGACAAGGCTCACTACATGTAGCAGTTGTATCCACTGGCTCGCAGAGAAAAATGTGTCCTCTGAACTCGTTTTCCTAAGTCTTTATATCCCACACGTGATTTTAACATTAAGTTAAGAAGGTTATTGTAATAGTTCACAAAGTGAATTATGCAAAATGCTTTTTCCAGATATTGAAAATGAGCCAAGAAAATATTAAAGTGTTTGACAGTGACTTGTCAGAAGACCGAGAGAAGCAACAGCAACTGGCGTCTGCTTTTGTTACTGTTCAGAAGTCCTTGAGAGTGGATAGTGAGGTATCACACTCAGGGTGGCGTTTTCTTCTTGTTTTTCTAGTTTAGGGATTTCATGTGACCATTTGTTTCTATCTTAAAGCAAATTATACCTCAGTAGGTAAGAGTCCTTGCTATGCAAGCATGAGGACCTGAATTCAAATCCCCAGCACCATGTAAAAATTTAGACATGAAGAAAAAAAAAAAAAGCAGGGTGGTGGTGGTGCACACCTTTAATCCCAGTACTGAGAGGCAGAGCCAGGTGGATCTCTGTGAGTTTGAGGCCAGCCTGGTGTACAGAGTGAGATCCAGGACAGGCACCAAAGCTACAGAGAAACCATCTTGGAAGAAAAAAAAAAAAGTTAGACATGACTGTGTGTGTCTGAAACCTCAGCACTGTGGAACAGAGATCACTGGCCAGCTAACTGAGCAGAAGCAGCCAACTTCCCATTCAGTGAGAGACCCTGCCTCAAAGGAACAGGCAGAGAGTCATGGAGGAAGACATCCAACTTCCTGCTTCACACACCCATACTGAGCTCTCATGCCTGGGCCGTACAACACAATAAAGAAAATATAACTTAGTTTGGGGTGCTGTCATTCAGTACCATTGGCTGTGTAGCTTAAATAATGGAAATCCACTTCCTTACAGTCCTGGAGGCTAGGAAGTCCTGGCCGCCTTCTGCGTCCTCTTGACAGGGTGTGGCCCATGTGTCTCTTCTCTTCTTACAAGGGCTCCAACCTGTTAGACTAGGGCCCCACCCTTCTGTCCTCATTTAGGCTGGCTTTAGGAGTCCCCTCCCCGTTGCTGCCTTTTTACGCCCCCACCCCCACCTTCCATTCCCTCTGACTTCAAAGCTTTCAGAGGACATCAAGTAGCTCCTCTCCTAAAGTAAGTGTCCTGTAACCTTTTGGCTATTGGGTACTGCAAACTGTCATTCCCCTCTTCTGCATATCTGTGTGAAAGTGTGAGAAAAATGTGTAACTACACATGAACTGCGTAGAAACAGATAATCTGAGGAGTAGAGGAAATGTTGCACATGAGTCACTGAGCACACATTAGCAACAGGATCTGCAGTTAAGGGCAGAGTCTGAAGTCGAACAGACTTGGGAAGCGGCTTTAGTTTTCCCGGGTACATGAGGCTGAGTTCTGGTACTCCGTCCAGCCCTAGTTTCAGAAGCAGCCCTGCTAGGGGTGCTTAGTAAAGCTACACCACGCTGTAGCGCAATATTCTATGAAAGACGCTGTGAGACACATTTTAAATTTATTATTGTTGTCGTATATGATCAGGGAGATCATACATTGGCACAGCACAAGTCCAAGGCCCGAGGACAGCTCCGTGGAGCCAGTTTTCTCCTTTCACCCTCACAGGGTTCAGGGATCAAATGTAGGTCACCGGGCGTGCATAACAAGCTCATTCACCTGCTGAGCCGTCTTGTCAGCCCTGTATTTTTAAGGCAAATAAGTATTTAATTCAGGAGCTGATGAAGATTTTACCTTTATCCAAGCTTTGTTTAAAATAGTAATGACTGTAGACACCCAGTCTTTCAACCTGTAAAAGGTAAACACTGAAACACTGCATTTGGTACCATTTAAAACTGAACAATTTGTTAGGACCATTTCAAGAATCCTTTGTAGAAATTGTATTCCTTTGCAGGGAAATAGACTTGATTTATCCTACAGAATATCTGCATTTCTTTTTTGTTTTTGTTTTTTTAACATTTATTTTTGTTTTTTTTTTTACTTTTTAAAAATTATTATTTAAAACAATTTTAAATTTAAATATATTTTTATCATAAAAAATCTTCATTTCTTAAACAGGAATTCCAAAAATCAAAGTCAGAACTCCTGTGCCTTTATAAGGAAATTCAAAGTCTTCCAAGGCCTGAGGGCAGAGAGCAGTTTTTAATAGCATATAACCTGCTACAAAGAGAGAATTCTGAATTAGAAGCCAAGGTGAGATTGAATTATTGATTATTTGAGTGTTCAATAAATATTTAACATGTCTTGTATGTGGATAAAGTAAAAGGAAACTTTAAGTAGCAGATTTAGAAATCAAAATTTCTTTTACTAGGATATAACAAAATGACATATAGTGTAGGTTATAAATCAGGGCAAACATTTAGACTTCAACTGCCCCTGGATGTCTTAAATCAGCTTCCTATCAACCGAATTTCTGGAGTGTGGATTACGGTGTGGAATGTAGGAAGGGAAAGGTCCACAATCCAGGGAGATGTGTGGGGAACGGTCTACAACTAGCCTTTGCTTTGGGAACACTGCTAGCAAGGTGAGTCATCAGCACGCTGAGCATTCAATCCCACTCCTGAACAAAAACTGAGAAGAAGAGGAGGAGGAGGAGGAGGAGGAGGAGGAGGAGGAGGAGGAGGAGACAATGATGGAGGAGGAGATGAGAAGGAGGAAATGATGATGGAGGGGAGACAATGACAGAGGAGGAGATGAGGAAGAAATGATGATGGAGGAGGAGATGAGAAGGAGGAAATGATGATGGAGGAGGAGACAATGATGGAGGAGGTAATGATGGAGAAGAGATGAAGAGGAGGAGACAATGGTGGAGGAGGAGATGAAAAGGAGGAGGAGACAATGGTGGAGGAGGAGATGAAAAGGAGGAGGAGACAATGGTGGAGGAGGAGATGAGAACAACTCAAGACATTTCTAGTCTAAGACACAATATAAGATCACTTAATGCTCTTTAAGCCCTTGAATCTGCCCACAGGAGTTGTTGGTCTGTCTGTCTGTCTGTGAGGTTTTTGAAGAAGTCTGGCAGTTTTAACAGAATATTGTAGACTAGGCAGTTTAAATGACTATTGCCCACAGCTCTGCAGGTTGGGAAATCCAAAGTAGGGCGCCAATAGGTCCCCGTTTGGTGAAGGCTGCTTTCCAGTTTGCAGATGGCCATCTTCTCCTGGTTCTTTCTTCCTCCTCCTCTTTAATCTTTGTGTGTATGTGCATGATATATGTGTGCATATGAATATTTATGTGTGTGAGTGTGAACATGCTCATGCCACAGCATGTGTGGGGTCAACCTCAGCTGGCCTTCCAGTTGGCTTGAGTTAGGGTTTCTTATATTTTGCTACTGCCTATGCTAGGCTAGCTGGTCTGCAAGCTTTGCGTGTCCTCTTGGCTCTGCCCTGATCTTGTTGGAGGAGCACTGGGATTCTACACACGCCTCCACCCACTCCCACCCCATCCCCCATCACATCTGGCTTTATATGGGTTCTGACAATTCAAACTCAGGTCCTATGCTTTCACATCAAATGCTTTACCGCTGAGCCATCTCCCCAGCCCACGCTGTTCTCTGAAGGGTACCAATGTCATCATGAGAGCTCCACCTTTGTGCCCCAGCTGCTTCCTTAAGGCCTCCTCCTGAAACCACCTTATTAAGGGTGAGGGTTTCATTTTTTTTTTTAAATTTAAGCCAGGTGGTGGTGGCACACACCTTTAATCCCAGCACTCGGGAGGCAGAGGCAGGTGGATCTCTGTGCATTTGAGGCCAGCCTGGTCTACAGAGCGAGATCCAGGACAGGCACCAAAACTGCACAGAGAAACCCTGTCTCAAAAAACCAAAATAAATAAAATTTTATTTATTTATGTATTTTTTAAATGAGTGTTCTGTCTGCATGTATGCCTGCATGCCAGAAGAGGACTTCAGATCCCATTATAGCTGGTTGTGAACCACCATGTGGTTTCTGGGAATTGAACTCAGGTCCTCTGAAAAAGCAGCCTGTGTTCTTAACTACTGAGCCATCTCTCTAGCCCCAGGTTTCAGTTTCAGTTTCGGGATTTTGAAAGAATCACAGGCTGTTATCTGGAAGAAGGTCCCTCAGTTTGGATTTGTCGTGTTTCCCCTACAATACAGTGCAAGTGCCCCATTCTGGACAGCAGTCGTATGGAAATGATGTGAGTTTACCGTGTTTCCCTTTGCAATGATAACCGTCTGGTGGATGGCTTCTTTGGGATGCTGCATTTCTGCCCATTAAACTATGTTCATGAAACGTTTTTGCTTTGAGCCTTTGGATCCTGAAGCTTCTCTTTGGAACACGGAGCGCTCTAAACTTAAAGGTGCCCTGCTTGGCGGAAGGCAGGCTGTGCTGTATGGATTTGCCAAAGCTTCTTATTTCACAGACTTTTTGTCTGGGTCACAGCTAGAATCATGTCACAGAAATTTATAGCAGAAACAGGTGTGATCTTGTAGGCCAGCTCATTCAATTCCTACAAAGAGCCCGGGGACTCTAGGTGATTGAACTACTGCCAAGCTGTGTGACATTTCTCAGCCTGTGCTCTTTCTGTCCTACCCTAAGGTCTCACAGAGTGGAGCACTCAGCTTAGTTCTCTAGTATTTAAATGTGGCTTGAAGTTTAAATTCGATTGAAGTATTAACGCTAAGATCAAATGGAAGCTAGTCCTTTCCCACACTATCCATCTCCTAGAAGGGCCAATGGGATTAACTTTCTTCATGATAAATAGCGACATTTTGGGGCTGGAGAAATGGCTCAGTGGTTAAGAGCACCTATTGATCCTGCAGAGGATCCCAGTTCGGTTCCCAGTAGCCACACTGAGAGGCTCACAACTGCCTATAATTCCAGCTCCACGGCAGCTGGTTTGCTTTTCTGGATTACCCAGGCAACTGCATGTACATGCACATATATACACGTAATTGAAAAAAGAAAAAAGTATTTTTTCCAATTGCTTAAGAGACATCCCAACCTTGTTGTATGTGGGTCCAGAGGACCCAGAAAATGCTTGATGTTTGTGTTACTGTTGTTTTCAATTTATTAGAGAATTCAATCCGAGTTCTGCTCTCTGCTAGTCTTTAAAAACTAAAATTTTCGAGGCCAGCCTGGGCTACAGAAAGGTGCAAAGCTACACAGAGAAACCCTGTCTCAAAAAACCAAAAAAAAAAAAAAAAAACACAACTAAAATTCACTGTCATTATGTAATGTTTGCATTTTTAGAATAACTGTAAAAACTAAGTAGCATTTTGGAATTTATTTTCCTGCTTGCAAAATTAATGCATGCTCATTAAGAAAACTGTCTTCCAAGACCTGCCTCACTTACGGCCTGTCTCGCTGCTTCCTCAGCTCCTCATGTTGTGACCTCCTCCCTCCTCTTCAAAGCCGCTTGAGTCAGTAGTATGTCTCTCTTTGACCACATGCTCCCCACACTTTAAATAAGCCACCCATAACCTCCCATCTCCCAAGGTTCAAGGCCCACCTTCACTGGAAAGTGACGGCCCTTGGGAGAGGTGTATGCACGGGAGTCTATACTGCGCTCTGTAGTTTCTCTTCAGGGGAAGGAAAAGTCATAGGAGACAACGGAATCTCTTAAAATACATTGAAGTCGAGCTTTGTATTTAGTTCCCTGGCTCTTGGAATCAAGCACAGTTACTGTAGGAGCTTTGTGTTTTCAGACAAGCATCGTTTGCTCTAATTCAGGACCATGGTGGGAACCATCTCCATTTCCCAACCAGCCTCTACTCCTGGAAGGAGGTCTGCTTGGATTTCGTATGAACATAGAATGAATAACCCCAAGTAACCATTGAGGATGGGAAATCTACAAAATCTTCTAAAAGCAAACAAATAAAAATGCAACACAGTATCCCTCAAAGTGCCCACATGCACCGGATTCCCCTAGGAAGCTTATACAGATCTTCATTTCCCATCCAACACTGAGCCTGGGCCTCACAATATAGCCTTGTAAATAAACTATCAGATAGGCTGGCATTTAGGGGCCACCACAGTCAACAAGGAACCTTTCAAATGTTTTCAAATAAATATGGTCAGAATGGAAGAAATTTCCCTTCTATAAGGTGCTGGTAGCCTTCTAATATTTTCTCAAGGCACTATATTACTGCTTTTATGAATCAATGAAGCGCAGTCAAAACTTGGGGACAAAAATGTGTAGTGAGCATGTAAAAGCCAAGGGCTCACTGGAGTGCTGTTGCTGTTTGCTCCTTGTTCCTATTTAAAGGCACAACGCAATTTTAACAGCAACAGAAACGCCAACATCGAAGGCCAAACTATTTGTTTGGTTGTTTGGTTGGATGTTTGTTTGGTTGGTTGGTTGGCTGGTTAAATCATGGAGTTACATACCCATATGTCTACTGCAAACATGGATTACGTTATATACACCTGCAGAGTATTTAACTAGATTGCAGTAAGACTTGCTGTAGGGCTCCAGTTTGGATAACTTAAGGCAGTAATGAAGCATTTGGTGGAGTCGATCTACTTTCCTCACGGCTGCAAAATAGAACATTTGCTTTTTCACTTAACTTTACAGGTCTCAAAGTTTTCACAAGAATTGCAACAGTTAGAACATTGCTCTGTAGGGGACAGAACTGCCAATTTAATGACAAGTGACGGCCACGGTGAAGATCTGGTGTCTAAAGTGCCACTTTTGGAAGGAGAGGTTCTAAGCCCAAGTGAAGAAGGACAGGCACCCTGGTAAATTGAGAGACTCCTGAACACAGTAACTGGAGGGGCGTTTATTTGGCTTGGTTATCCTAAGGAGCTGACATTCATTTTCAAGAGATGTAATCAGAAAAAAATTAGTTTTAAGCATTTCCTAGAGTTTGTCTTTCTTTTTTTCCTTTTTTTTCCTTTTTTCTTTCTTTCTTTCTTTCTTTTTTTTTTTTTTTTTTTTTGAGACAAGGTTTCTCTGTGTAGCTTTGCACCTTTCCTGGAACTCACTCTGTAGCCCAGGCTAGCCTGGAACTCACAGAGATCCGCCTGGCTCTGCCTCCCAAGTGCTGGGATTAAAGGCGTGCGCCACCACTGCCCAACTGTCTTTCTTTTTTAAACAGTTGTGTGTTGAGTACTGTGGAAGAGAAGAGATGGACTGGGCAGTGACTAGGGTACCACTTGCAGTGGGCTGAGAGGGCATGCCATTTTCTGATGGAGCATTAACATTACATTTCAAAACTTTTCCTCTTGCCTTTGAAAGTTAGCATATGCTTTCTGTTGAAATGTAGGAAGCATGTAAAAGTAGAAATGGATTACAATAACCCACAATTCTCTTCCGGAAGAGAGACACTCTCACCCACCTCTCTTCTGTGCACACAGGTATGCAGGTAACTTGGTTTTGTTTTATTTTGTTTTGTTTTTCAAGGCAGGGTTTCTCTGTGTAGCTCTGGCTGTCCTGGAACTCACTCTGTAGACCAGGTTGGCCTCGAACTCATAGAGATCTGCCTGGCTCGGTCTCCAGAGTGCTGGGATTAAAGGCATGTGCCACCACCTCCTGGTGGTAAATTGTTTTTACATAATCAAGGCTGTACTCTATATACAGTTTCTGTTTTGCTGATCTTATTTGACATTATATCTGGTAATTGAGTTTTCAGAATGCTTCTCTTTTATTTATTTGTTTAATCTTGCTACTTAACCCTGTTTTTTATACATCTTAACCAAAATTATCCTTCACAGAAGTTTTGGAGGCTTTGGGCAAATGATCTGTTCTAATATGGCACAAAAACTAATAGAAACCAATTACTTTGTGTGGACAAAAGCCTAAAGGTCATTGAGAAGGAAACAGTAGATGCCCATGCTCCTTAGATGCCAACCTAAAGGACACTCTTTTCCATGAACTGGGGAGATTGGGTCCTGGTGTCACCAAATTTATTTCGGCATAAATGTTCTAAGATAGATACTGCTTTGCCAGTTTGGGAGCTCCTAAATTTTATGTTCTCTTAAAAATTTCTTTTAACTTTAGAGTTAGCTCTGAGTCCAAGATTCCCAACCAGGAAACAGAGAGGTGGAGGGGGAAGGGTGTCTTGGAGAGATGGGGTTGACAGGTGTGGGGTGGGAAGGGCATCTTGGCAAGATGGGCGTGTTCTCTGACAATGAGCCCAAAAACAAGGAACTGAGAAACTGGCTCACCATATTTAGGTTTGGTGGAATGCCAGGCGGTGGTGGCCCATGCCTTTAATCCCAGCACTCGGGAGGCAGAGCCAGGCAGATCTCTGTGAGTTCGAGGCCAGCCTGGTCTCCAAAGCGAGTTCCAGGAAAGGTGCAAAGCTACACAGAGAAACCCTGTCTCGAAAAACCAAAAAAAAAGAAAAAAGAAAAAAGAAAGCCTAATTCTAAAGCATGGGGACAGGTTTCAAGAGAAGTTGCCCTAGCATCTCATTAGATGAAGCTGGAAGGTGACAGGCAGGTCAGTTCATCCATTGTGAGCCACAGATGAAGAAGCAGTAGCCTGGAGCTGTCGGGATGTAGCAATCACCCTGAAAACTCTTCCCAGAAAGAACTGACAGTGTCAGGCAGACCTGCTCACCCGGCTGGGGCAGGTCACGGGTGGGTGGGGAGACTTGTCAGAGTAGCAAGGCTGGTGCCTTCGTTCCTCTGCGGTGGGAACTCTGCCGGGAGACAGACTCTGGGCTTCTTTCCAGAGAGCTCCTCTAGCAAGACCAACTTCCCGTGGTTGGGACTATGAGAACTCTAGGTTATCAGCCACATGCTTCTTCCCTCTCCCCCCATCTCAAATGGCTCCTGTTTCATGACCTGTGCCCCTTGGCAGGTTCCACTTCAGTCAGATCTGGAACACAGCCACACTCAGCATCAACCATTTGTCCACTGTGTGCGGGCAGGTGCTCCAAGCAGAGGGAGAGCACAAACTAAGACAGGTTTAACGTTATGGTCTGATGGGAGGAGGTAGTTACACGAGGCGGTGCTGGCTTCATAGTCTGTCAAGGGCCAAATCAGGGTGCAGGGAGACAGAGACAGAGACAGAGACAGAGATGGGCAGCAGCAGCAGAATGTGATGTTGAAAGGGCATAGGTTTGTGTGAGGTCCTTTAGAAGAACTCTAGGGAAGGGGAACAATCAGAATCAGATGCAGGCAGACTCCCGAACATAGAGGCACATGGGATGCTTGCATCAGAGAGGTGTTTGCTTGCTGGTTTTGCAATATTGGGGTTAATCATGGGGCTTCCCATGCGCTAAAGAAGCACCCAACACTGAGCTCTGTCCACAACCCTAGTTAGTAATTTAGACAATAAAAGCTCCTTTAGAGTTTAGCAGCCTGGGCAAAACAATAGGTTAGTGCTTGAGGAAAATCACTCTGGCTGCTATGTGTAAAGCATTTTTTTAAAAAAAAAAAATCAGTGGGCTGGAGAGATGGCTCAGAGGTTAAGAGCACTGACTGTTCTTCCAGGGATCCTGAGTTCAATTCCCAGCAACCACATGGTGGCTCACAGCCATCTGTAATGAGATCTGGTGCCCTCTTCTGGCCTGTAGACATACATGCAGGCAGAACATTGTATACATAATAAATAAATAAATCTTTAAAAAAAATTCAGTGGGACTTTGGGATTAGTGACTCTAATCGGGATGAAGAAGATATAGTAACCTGAATATGGAGAAAGGCTTTTAAAATGTAAGAGGTGGCTGGGGAGATGGCTCAGGCAGCGAAGGGCTTGCCGGGCAAGCATGAGGACCTAGGTCCAGATCTCCAGTACCCATGTAAAAGCCAGGGACAGTGATGCTCGCCTGTCCCTCTACTGGCTTGGCATGTGGAGATGGACGGGTCTCCAGAATTCATGGCCCAGCCCATCTAGCTAAGCTGGCGAGCTCTAGGTCCAGTGAGAGACCCTATCTCAAAAAATAAGGGGAGAGCCAGCGAGACGGCTCAGAGGATAAGGGTGCTTGCCACCAAGCCCGAGTATGATCGCTAGAACCTGTATGACAGAGGACAGAACTGACTCCCACAGGTCGTCCTCCGACTTTCACACATGCACAGTGGCATGCGAGCACGCTTGTTATACACACACACACACACAACTGAAATGTAATACAAATTTAAATAAATAAAATAACTTGAATTCCAGCTGAATTGTTTTGTCTGTTTGCTGATTTGGAGAACATGTCTATTGTTATGACAAAATACTTGGGACTGAATTTTTTTTTTTTTGGTACGACTGAATTTTTTTTAAGACGTTTATTTGGCTCATGGTTCTGGGGGTTCAGAAGCATGGCACCCATCTCTGTGAGGGCCTTCCTGCAGATGGCATTACAGCAGAAGGGACACACGCAAGAAGGGGTCATGTGACTAGTCAGGAAGCAAGGAGGGGACAGCCATGTTCTTTTTTCCTGTTTTCCTTTGTGTCCATGTTTTCATGTGTGTCCACATGTGCATGTATGGAGGTGCATATGCATGTTTGTGTGCCTGCATGTCAAGGCCCCGGGTTGATGTCAGGAGTCATCCTCGACTGCCTTTCCACCTTGTTGGTTGAAGGATATCTCAAACTGTTCTCACTGGCTGGCTTGCTCAGGGGATCTCCTCGGGGAAGCAATAAAACCATGTCCAAACAGGAACAGTGTGTCTCCATTAGCTGCTGTTTTAAATAACATTATTATGAGCAGCATCGAACACTCAGTTTTTCTCTTATGAAGCATTTTATCGCTATTACGATATATTCGTGGAGACTGGGGTTACAGCTCACTAGCGCAGCACCACCTAACACACGTGAAACCCTAGATCCAATTCCCAGCACCACAGAACAATGTATGTTCACGGGTTGCAAGTTTTCAGACTCTAAACATTTTAAGATGGTTTAGGGCTTTTTTTTTTTTTTCTTTTTTTGAGACAGGGTTTCTCTGTGTAGCTTTGCACCTTTCCTGGAACTCACTTTGGAGACCAGGCTGGCCTCGAACTCACAGAGATCCACCTGACTCTGCCTCCCAGGTGCTGGGATTAAAGGCGTGCGCCACCACCGCCCGGCAGGCTTTCTTTTTTTAATCAGTTATTTTTATGTGCATGAGTGTTTTGCCTGCATGCATGTCTGTGCATCACGTGCATGCCCGGTACCTATGGAGGCTGGAAGAAGAAGTCCAATTCCCCTGAACTAGAGTGACAGATGGTTTTGAGCTGCCAGCTAGGTATTGAACCCGGGTCCTCTGACAGAGCAACCAGTGCTCTTAACTGCTGAGCTACCTCTCCAGCCTCAGAATCTAAATATTTTTATGGCTCTTGATTTGTGCCTTCTTGAATGTGGGTGACAACTCTGACTGGCGAGGCCAGCAGTGCTGGGCTCCAAGGTGCCCCAAACAAATGTCAGATTGGAGGGACAGAAGTAAACGTGGGGCTGGGGTGAGCTTAGTGGCAGAATGCTTACCTAGCAAGCAGAAAGCCCTGGATTCAGTCCCGGCACTGCCAAAAAAACAACGGCAGAAGCAAAATGCAGCAAAACACCCAGCACGTTGGTGTGCACTCCAGTCTTCTGTCCTCCTTTAGCGCACATCAACGATTAACCAAGCCATATATTACTACTCAGCCTAATTACTGTCTAGATATCCTTATTTCTTAAGTATAAACCTCTTACAGCCCACTGTAGCCTCGTTGCCTGTTGAAGTACCTGCATTTGAGTGGCATTTGGAACTCTTTATGATCTGAATCTGCCCAGTGCAATACTAAAAGTCCAGAGAGGATAAAAAAAAATCATTTAAACTGGTTGTTGGGCTGTAAACAAAAGTATATGATGGGTCATCTCCTTGACTGTGAGTGAAAAAATAAGAGTCGTTGCTATAAAATGCACAAGAACAACTTGCAGCCGTACAATTCAAGTTTGAAAGAACAATCCGCTAGTGTGTAGGATTTTCTTCATTATTCTGCCACAAGAATATTTGTTTGATAGATCTTTTATTGTTATATTTGTACCAAGTTCTGAATTAGGAGAAAGTAAGCAGGAGGAAATGCCAGAGGAGTCAGTGAAGGCGGCCACTTTTCCAAGAGAGAGGCAGGAGGAGCCCCAGCAGAATCGAGACTCGGGAGGCCCTGAACAGCTGTTGGCCATGGAGCCCAGAGAAGTTGGGAGGCTTGGAGAAGAGCTGAGCCTCCAGTCTCAGAGCTGTGGGGATAGTTCAGATGACAGTAGCACCCAGGTAGGTGCTGCAGACACGCGCTCTGGGTCTGGCCCCTCCGACTAGAGAAGCACCATTTTTTTCATCTCCTCTCTTTCTTTTTTGGTTGTTTGTTTGTTTGTTTTGTTTCCAGACAGGGTTTCTCTGTGTAGTTTTGGTGCCTGTCCTGGATCTCGCTCTGTAGACCAGGCTGGCCCTGAACTCACAGAGATCCGCCTGGCTCTGCCTCCCGAGTGCTGGGATTAAAGGCGTGCGCCACCACCGCCCGGCATCATCTTCTTTCTTTCTTTTTTCTTTCTTTCTTTTTTTTTTTAAGATTTATTTATTTATTATGTAATACAGTATTCTGTCTGCACATATCCCTGCAGGCCAGAAGAGGGCACCAGATCTCATTACAGATGGTTGTGAGCCACCATGTGGTTGCTGGGAATTGAACTCAGGACCTTTGGAAGAGCAAGCAGTACTTTTTAACCTCTGAGCCATCTCTCCAGCCCCATCATCTTCTTTCTTAATGTCCGTCTCTTAGATAACTTTACAGCCACGGCTTAACTGGTAATGAACTCACAAAGTCTGAACCTGTTGATCCGCTTTATTAAAGAAGGGCCCCACAACTCTGTTGGGGTGGTTCTCTCCTCCTGCCTTCCTGTGGGTTCTGAGCATGGAAGTCCCCACTGAGCCTTAAGCTCGAGGCGGGTTCAGCAGGAACACATCTGCCACCAGTGGGTGGGGCGAAGGGATGGCAGGATCTGTGCCACCCTTCTGATTCCAGGGAGTGTGGTGAACCAAGTGTTCACTTTAGTAGAGAAAATGACCTCGGGGAATTGTTCTAAATATGGCCCCTTGCTATTTACTGCAGGTGTGCCTGTAAAAGAATTCAAGGGAGTGGCTGCCAGCCCCACTTTGGTTCTTAATCTTACAGGACTCCATTGTACAGAGTAAAATTGCTCTGTGAAACCTTCCCAGAAATTACTTTGAGATCCTCAGAGGACTGTTGTGTTCGCAAGTAAGCCACCTTCAAAGAGCTGATGAACTGCCAGGTGCTTTCCTGCAAGCCCAGAATTTGAGAGGTAGAAGCAGGCGGATCAAGAGTTCTGGGTCACCTTCTGTTACTTTGCGGCTAGCCTGGGCTGGATAGGTTCTGTCTCAAAAAAAAAAAAAGCAGGGGGAGAGGGGTTGATACTATGTACTTGAGAAGAAGTAAGTCAAGGGAATACTTTACTAAAGAAAGGCTGGAGAGTTGACTCAGCAGTTAAGAGTAAGCACTGCCCTTGCAGAGAAACTGAACTTGATTCCCAGAACCTACAGTGGGTGACTCATAATTGCTTGTAACTCCAGCTCGGAGACTTAACGCCTCTGGCCTCTGAGGGTACCTGCAGTCACATGCACAGATACACACACAGAGAAACATAAGTAAACCCTTAGTTTTTATTATTTATTTACTTATTTTGAAACAGTATCTCACTGTGTAACCATGACTGGTCTGGAAATTCATAGAGGCCAGGCTGAATCACAGAGATCTACATGCCTCTCCAGAGTGCTAGGATTAAAAGCATGGGAAACCATGACCTGCCCAAAATAAGTTTTGGGGGTTTTGTTTGTTTGTTTGTTTGGTTAGTTGGCTGGTTTTGTTTTGTTTCAAGAGAATGCCTTGGCTGTCCTGGAACTAGCACTGTAGACCAGGCTGGCCTCCAACTCACAGAGATTTGCCCTGCCTCTGCCTCCCAAGTGCTGGGATCAAAGGCATGCCCCATCATCACCCAGCTAGTTTTTTTGTTTTTAATGTAAGTCGAGGGCTTGAAATGTAATCATACCCAGGATGGAATCTAGCATGGGGAGAGAACAGGAGAAGGAGGAGAGGAAAACATACATTTGGAAATGGAATTTAAAATTTGCAGAAGCTATATAATTAAAGAAAATAAACCCAGGTTTGGTGGCTCATGACTGTAGACTCACCAGAGACTGAAGAGAGAGGACCATACAGGAGTTCAAAGGCAGCCTGTGCTGCAGAATGAGACCTTGTCAGATCTCTCTGTCTCTGTCTCTCTCTGTCTCTCTCTCTCTCTCTCACACACACACACACACACACACACACACACACACACACACACACACACACACAAGGAGATTCAGATCTTGTTTGGCTTGGAAACCCAAAGAAGAATATGACATCAAACGCCCAACAGTAAGTCCCTTTGGGACCCCCAGCTCTCCCTTTCTAGGACACTGGGCCAGAGCAGCAGGCTTGAGAAGGTGCTGAATGGAACACAATTACAAAATCTTTGTTATTGTTGTTTGGGGTTTTGTTGTTGGCTTGGTTGGTTGGAGGGGGGGGGGCAGTCAGGTTATTGCTTTGCAGCCAGGCTAGCATGAAATTCAATATGTAGCCCAGGCTAGCCTCAAACTCACAATCTTCCCGGCTCACTCCTGAGTGATAAGATCACAGGTTTGTGCCACCATGCTTAGCCAAGACTATAAAAATTTTGCCTGCATGTAACTTAGTGTCTGAAAAGCAATTTCTGACTAGTTGGTTAGTTTGCTGTATCTTTCCCCTTTGTCTGAAGCACTTGTTCCTCAACACCTAGTAACAAAGACCAAAACTGGGAGGGACCAGTGGAGGGAGGGTGGGGGAAGACCAGGAGGGCAGGGAATGAGGGTGGATCGATCAAAACATTACATGCATGTATGAAATTCTCAACAGAAACAGGGACACTCACATAATGACAAATAGAACGTTTGAAACTACAAAATATGCAAAAAACTTCTAAGAAAATTTTGAGCGTAGCCACTTTGTGGAAGGGCAGATAGTTCTCCATACCATGCAGCCTCTTAGGACTTCAGCAAATTCTAGTGTAGGTCAGTAAGTTTTCCCCCTAATGGTGTGGGTTATTGAAAAAAGTTGAAGTTCTTGTGTTTTCAACCAAGACGAATTGCCTGGGATGAAGAGAATAAGGTCAATGGAGCTAACGCCTGCATTAGGATCCAGCTAATGATTTGTGGTCCCAGAGGACCCACTCTTTCCACCTAGTTATTCTAAATTCTTCTCAAAACTCAAGGTAAATGTCTGTCGTGGGGGGAGGAGCAGCACTGGGTGTCAAAGTTCACCCTAAGTTGAAAAGTTCTGTATCAGGATGAGTGTGTGCAGACCACAGGGACCCCCATACGCTGTCACCATCTGCCTGCACATAGTAGTTGTCATAGTTCTGTAGGCCATGTGTGTGTCTATTGTTAGATAAGCTCAGAGTTTGGAGATGATGTAGAGAACTGTGTTACCTCTATAAACAAGATCAGGACCTACAGCCCACCCTACTGAAGCTTCAAGACAGATGCCAGCCCACATGCCTCACCTTTGTCCAGGAAAGGGGCGGCATTGAATCAGTGGAATGTGCTGGATATCCCTGTTGCCTGCTGGGCAAGGCTGCAAATGCACTTTTGGCCTGAGATCTCCCTCTTTGTCTTCCAAGGCTGTTCTCTCATGTCTCTTCCCAGTTCGATGTGTGGCATATCTAATGGGGCTTACCCCATAGCACTTGGATTACTTGGGTTTGGGGACATAACAGTTGCTTAGCCTTGGTTATTCTGGGTGAAAGACATGTGATAGGTTTAGGGGGAAAGATACTAGCTTCTGTTTCTTTTAATTAAAAAGACAATGTGTGTGCGTGTTTTGCCTGCATATATGTATGTCTATGCACTCTGGGACTGGAGTTACACATGGTTGTAAACCTCCTTGTGGGTGCTGGGAATCACCCACGTCCTCTGGAAGAGTAGCACGTGCTCTTAACCAGTGAGCCATCTCTCCAGCTTCTCTGTTATTTTTAAATGCAATTATCGACATAGTTTGAATTGCATAGGCTCAAATGTTTGAATACTTGGTCCCCAGTTGGTGGAAAGGTTTAGGAGAGATTGTGAGAGAGAGGGTGTTGTTGGAGGAGGTGTGTCACTAGGGGCAGACTTAAACTAGCACCACTCCCTGTCTCTTGCTTGTGGTCGGAGATGTGAGCTCTCCGCTGCCCCTAGTGGCCTTTGCTCCGCCATCATGGACTCTAGCCCCCTGGAACCATGTGCCTAATTACATGCTTTCTTTTATAAGTTGCCTCGGCCACAGTGTTTTATCACAGCAACAGAAAAATAACTAACGGGGCTGGAGAGGTGGCTCAGTGGTTAAGAGCACTGGCTGTTCTTCTAGAGGACCCGGGTTCAATTCCCAACACCCACATGGCAGCTCACAACTGCCTGTAATTGCAACTCTAGGAGACTCAACAACCTCATACAGATATACATGCAGGCAAAACACCAATGCACATAAAATAAAAATAGATAAATCATTTTTTTTAAAAAAAAAAAAAAAAGGAAAAGTAACTAAGACCCCACACAATGCAAACATTTGAAATAGGTGCTGCAATTGTTTTGACTGAACCCACAAAGTCACCATAGACACATCACCTGTCCTGTTCTGGTTTCTTTCTGTTGCTGTGATAGAACGCTCTGACAAAAGCCACTTAGAGGAAAGGATTTATCTGACTTCCACTTCTAAGTCACAGTCCATCGCTGAGGGAAGGCAGGGCAGGAGCTCAAGCAGAAACTGAAGTCAGCCTACTTGCCATTCCACACAGCATGACCTCTAACAACTCAGTCACAGCAGAGAAAGTGCAGCAGAAACCATGGAGGAGCTCTGTTTGGTGGATGGCACAGACTCCACCAGCTTCCTTAACCACCTACCCAGGGAATGGTGCCGCCCATGGTGGGCTGGGTTCTCCTATGTCAACTAACGGTCAATCAATATCCCGTTGTGGAAACAGAACTTCCTCTTAGTGTAGTTTGACCAAGGGGGAGCCCAAATTTGAATTTCCTACTTCCTTCCATCTGTGGTCTGTGGTCTATCTGTGGTGTGTGTGTGTGTGTGTGTGTGTGTGTGTGTGTGTGTGTGTGTGTGTGTAAAATGTGTTCTTATTGCCTGTTTGTTGTGCCTGTGGTCCTGTGTCTGTGCCTAAAAGGGGGATTTTCTATGTATTTATTGAGTAGCACAGAAAATAAGGAATGGAATATACTTTTTTACAGAGCTCTTTACCAGAGCTTTACAAGGGAAGAGGTTATTTACTGACCCCCAATGGTTCATATATAGCACTCAAGACCTCACACAGATATTATCAACCTATATTCACATGTTGCTTGCAACATTAAATGGGATATTTGTTTTGTTTAAGGTTGCTTCAACCTGCTGGCTGTTTTCAGCAAATGATCACCACCACCCACCACCACCACACACACACCACACACACACACACACACACACACACACACACACACACACGCACATACACACACACACACACACACACACACACACACACAACATAACATTCTGGATATCAAAGTATGGAAGAGTCCATAACTTAAGATTAAAGTTGTGCATTTAGCTTGGTCTGTAGAAGTCAATTGCTTGGGAAATCCTAGGCATAGTGAGGTTGGTTATATCACTCTCTTAAAGGCAGGCTGAATTTAGGCCTAGTACACAGTAGGACAACAGGCTAAGTACACAGGTTTTAAATTATCTCAAGGTATATTATTAACTTGGCTGCAAGGTCAGACAAAAGTCCAGTCTCTAAAAGCAAGAGATGTCAGAAAATGTAGCACCGCATATCTGACCCCTCAACCGGAATTCCTTTGGATGGCTCTAGGTTGGGTCAAGTTGACAGTTTAAGCTCACTAGGCCGCTCCCACCTGCATTACTCCCTATTTCCTTTACTGCCCCTGCCCCAGACAAGCACTAATCTACTTTCTGTCACCATCGATTTGTCTGCTCTGGGTCTTTCTGGCATATTTAGCATTGTATAAGAGACGGCCCTTTGTGACTGGCATGTTTCAAGTTATAGGTTTTCAAGGCTTATTCAAGATGGTAGTATGTATCAGTGATTCATCATTCTTTTTCAGGCTGCTTAATTTTTTCATGGTTATACCGTATTTTATATGAGTTGTTGATTGATTATTATGAATAGGAATGCTGTGAACGTTTATGCATGTTCATCTCATGTTTGGTCTGGGGTTTGTTTGTTGTTTTTTTTTTTGAGTCGAGGTCTCTATAAAGCTCAGGCTGCCTGGCATTCAGCTCTAGAGCCCCTACCTCAGTCTCCCTGGTGCCAGAGTTCCATGCATACACCATCCCAAGAGCTCATATATTTCTAATTCTATTATTTCAACATCAAAGAATAAAACTCCTGGGTCACACAAGTAATGTACATGGTCTCAGTTTCTCCTCTCCATCTTTGCCAAAACCATTATTGTTTCATTTTAGTGTCTATAAAGTAGTATTTCATTGTGGCTTCGATTTTTTTTTTTTTTTTTTTTTTTTTTTTTTTTTTTTTTTTTTGGTTTTTCGAGACAGGGTTTCTCTGTGTAGCTTTGCGCCTTTCCTGGAACTCACTTGGTAGCCCAGGCTGGCCTCGAACTCACAGAGATCCACCTGGCTCTGCCTCCCAAGTGCTGGGATTAAAGGCGTGCGCCACCACTGCCCGGCGGCTTCGATTTTTATTTTGCTAATGAGTAATGACATGGTGTATTTTTAAATGTTTTCATCAGTCTCTTATGCATTGTCATTAGAGAAATGTCTAATCAGCTCCTTTCCCTAGCTTTAATTGGATTACATTTGTCTTATCTCATTGAGTTGTAAAAGTTCATCATATATTCTGTATATATCTTATTAGATACTTGATACCCCTCAGGGGGCCATCTCTTTATTTTCCTCACACTACCCATTAAGATACATGTTTTTATTATATAAACACCGATCTATGAATTTTTAAAATTCTTCTCATGCCTATATATGTGTGTGTGTGTGTGTGTGTGTGTGTGTGTGTGTGTGTGTGTGATGTGTATGCACACCTGCTTGCTTGTGAGTATACACGTGTACAGACACATATGAGCACACATATAACCGGAGGCCCAAGGTTGGTGTTGGAAATCATCCTTGATCAGTCTTCCACCTTATCTTTGAGGCAGGCTCTCTCAATCAAACCCAGAGGTGGCTGATAGGGCTAGTCTAACTAGTCAGCTTGCTCAAGGATTGCCTGCCTCTACCTTCCAGGCAAGAATTACTGTCAGGCAGCTACTTCCACCCACCCACACATTTTTTGTGGGTTTGAGGGACCTGACCTATGGTTATCTTGCTTGCATAGCAAGCGCTTTAACCACTGAGGCATCTCCCCCAGACCCTGCCCCCATTTACAATTGTTTGTTTGTTTCGAGACAGGGTTTCTCTGTGTAGCCCTGCCTGTCCTGGAACTTGCTGTAGACCAGGCTGGCCTTGAACTCAGAGATCCACCTGCCTTTGCTTCCCAAGGGCTGGGATTAAATGTGTGCACCACTATACTCAGCCCCATTTACACTTTTTTTAATGTTTGTTTCTTCTGAGTCTATTTTTATGCTTTTAGCTTTATAATAAAATCTGTAGTAAAAAATTTTCTCCAGTCCCACCCAGCCCCATGGTCCCACAGCTGCTTATAAAATAATCACTCAGAAGCTTATATTAATTATAACTGCTCAGCCATTAGCTCAGACTTATTACTGACTAACTCTTAAATTAACCCATAATTCGTATCTATGTTTAGCCATGTGGCTTGGTACCTTTTCTCAGTTCTGCCTTGTCATCATGCTTCCTGTGTCTGGCTGGTGACTCCTCTCTCCTCTCTTCCTCTTCCCAGCATTCTCCGAGTCTGCTGGCCCCACCTATACTTCCTGCCTGGCTACTGTCCAACCAGTGGTTTTTTTTTTTTTTTTTTTTTTTTTGGTTTTTCGAGACAGGGTTTCTCTGTGTAGCTTTGCGCCTTTCCTGGTACTCGCTTTGGAGACCAGGCTGGCCTCGAACTCACAGAGATCCGCCTGCCTCTGCCTCCCGAGTGCTGGGATTAAAGGCGTGCGCCACCACCGCCCGGCCCCAACCAGTGTTTTATTAAACCAGTGTACAAGAGCATCATCCAACAGCAAAAATTTTGGATCCATTAGCAGATACCTTTATTTTGTATGTGACTAGTCAGTTGTAGCAGTAAGATTTATTGAAAGGAAACCACCTGTTGTAAAGAAAGAAATAAAAAGATAAATGTGGAATTGATTCATGAGGGAAAACTGATTATTTGTATTTGAACTTTCTATTTCCCAAATAAGGAAATTGTTTTTTTCAATGTGTTTGTGTGTTTTCTTGCATGTATGTCTATGCACCAATCACATGCAGTGCCTGAAGAGGCCAGAAGAGGGTGTTGGATCTCTGCTCGCTGGCTCTCTCCCTCTCTCTCCCTCTCTCTCTCTCTCTCTCTCTCTCTCTCTCTCTCTCTCTCTCTCTCTCTCTCTCTCTCTCCTGTGTGTGTGTGTGTGTGTGTGTGTGTGTGTGTGTGTGTGTGTGTGTGTGTGTGTGTGTATGTGTGTGTGTGTGGTCTTCAACCCTGGTGCCAGACGGTAATATCTAGTATTTTGCTATATTAGCTTAATCTTCTTAAACGTACAATTTTAACAACACACCAGCCAGATGCTAAACTTCTCAGAATGCTTATAAATAGAAAAAGACTTGTGGGAGCCTCTCTCATGAGCAAGTCTGTGAGTTATATCAGTCAGAAGTATTTTGTGACGTCAGCTGTAGATGCTGACGAGTCTGGTTAACACTAGTCCAGGGGAGGTTACTTTCCTACTAGTCTTGAGCCAAGTTGGAAGCAGTTATTATGTTAATTTTGTAGGCCTAAAACTGTTTCTAATGTTTGGGTATTTTGCTGTGCTCTGGGTCCCACACTAAACCACCCATGTGCATTAAGCAATACGATGAGATAGGAATGTAATCAGTGCATCTTACAGGTGGAGGAACGGAGGCTTTGGAAGGAGATAGGCGGTATTTACCCACATTGAGGAAATAGTGAAACCCCAGTCTACTTCCTCCAGAGTCTCGAGCTTGATTCTCTGGCTGCTTCTCCAATTGCTTCCCTGTAGTGGTAAGTTTTCTCTAGTTCTTCCCGCCCTTTGGTCCTGCAGCCACTTATAAAATAATCATTCAGAGGCTTAATATTATTTACAAACTGTGTGGCCAGTGGCTTAAGTTTCTTGCTAGCTAGCTCTATCATCTTAAATTAACCGGTTTCTATTAATCTATGTTTTGCACATGGTTGTGGCGTTACCAGTCTGCTGGCATGTTGCTGCTCCTTTGGTGGCAATTAGCATCTCTCCTCTCTCTCCTTTCTTCTCCCCATATATCTGCTTGGATTTCCCGCCTGCCTCTAAGCTGCCTTGCCATAGGCCAATGCAGCTTTATTTATCAACCAATCAGAGCAACACATATTCACAGCATACAGAAAGACATCCTACAGCACTTCCCTTTGCTAACAACCTACAGGAAGCATACAATTCTCACTCCAGTTGCCCCAAAGAAGACAATGGGCTGCCTCCCCAAAGCCTCCCACGGTATCATAAATTACGTTGGTGAATTTTATCCCAAGTTGGACCCCAGACTTGATGTTTTAGCTGACCTAGGATAAAATCTGTGTCCTAGGGATTAACTGAAATTGATCAGATTGTCAAGGCTTTGGGATAAAACCAGAATGCCAAGTAATTATTTTTATGGAGTAATTAATTTGAAATATCACATGAATACATTTAAATAAACAATGAAGTCTCTTCCTATAAAGAGCTAAGAAAGAATCAATTCTGAGCCCAGTGGTGGTGCATACTTTTAATCCCAGCGCTTGGGAGTCAGAGCCAGGCAGATCTCTGAGTTTGAGGCCAGCCCAGTCAGTCTCCAGGGTGAGTTCCAGCACAGCCAGGGTTTCACAGAGAAACCTTGTCTTGGAAAGGGAAAAAAAAAAAAAAAAAAAGAATCAAATTCTGACGGATGCTTGGCTGAGGACCATAAAGGGCTTGGTTTGATGACTCATTTTCTGGCCCACACCATCCACATCCCTGGATGGGAGGATTTAATGCCTGGATCCACAACAGGAATGATCTTCCCATGAAACCAGTATTTGAACTTTGGTTTGCGTTTAACTTTTTATTTTATTATCATATTTTTAGCTGGGCTAATGAAATGGCTTGGTAAGAGGCACTTGCTCTTCAACCTAGTAACTGGAGTTTCATCCCCAGAATTCATATGGTGAAGGACAGAAAAAACTCCTGAGAGTTGTCCTCTGGTTGGCACACATACACCGTGGCATCATGTGTACATGCGCGCGCGCGCGCGCACACACACACACACACACACACACACACACACCCACACCACACACTAATGAAAATTAAAATTAAAAAATTAAATGTGGAGCTGGAGAGGTGGCTCAGCGGTTAAGAGCACTGGCTGCTCTTCCAGAGGACCCAGGTTTGACTCCCAGCACCCACATGGCAGCTCACAACTGTCTGTAAGTCCAGTTCCAGGGGGAACTGACACACCTCTGACAGACATCAGGCATGTAAGCAGTGCACAGGCATACATGCAGGCAAATGCCCGTAGACTTCAAATAAAATACAATTTTAAATTAAGTGTTTTTTAAAAACTACAAAATAGTATGGGTTCCTGGTTGTTGTTGTTGTTTTTTTGTTTTGTTTTGTTTTTTGGTTTCTCTGTGTAGCTTTACGCCTTTCCTGGAACTCGCTCTGGAGACCAGGCTGGCCTCGAACTCACAGAGATCCACCTGGCTCTGCCTCCCCAGTGCTGGGATTAAAGGCGTGTGCCACCACCGCCCGGCGGTTGTTTTAATTTTTAAGGAATTTTGTAGTTCTGAGACTCAAAAATGGGTGTTTTGCTTCACAATCCTCTATTCTGTTTGCCTTTCGTTGATACGAGACATTAGAAAGGTTAATTGTCCATGCACCGCTGCTTTTGTTCCCATAATTTGCTGGCCTTTTCACGCCAGTGTAGAAGCCTTTGAATTATGGGAGCATCACCAAGCAGCCGTAGGTGTAGAAGCATCGTTTGTGGTGGGTGAGCGCTCAGATTCCTACAGTTGTGCCGACTGCTCAAACCCACACGCCACCAGCCCACCAGCGCTCTCTGAGTGCGTTCCTCCCTTTGAATGTTTGCCTCAGTACCTAACGTCTGGAGAGAGAGCGAACTACCAGCATCAAGGGGAAGTGCAGCAACTGCGCCAGAAGCTGCACCGCCTCCAGGTCCTGTGCAGCTCAGCCGAAAAGGAGCTGCGGTATGAGCGCGGCAGGAGCCTGGACTTCAAACAGCACAACAGTCTGCTTCAGGAGGAGAATGTCAAGGTGAGTCTTCCCCCACCGCACAGCCGCAGCTGGGCGTAACCAAATCATGGTTCTCAGTATTTCCGGCCCACGGATGGACGGACAAGGCTGTTTCTTTTCCTTTCTTTCTTTTTCTTTCTTTCTTTCTTTCTTTCTTTCTTTCTTTCTTTCTTTCTTTCTTTCTTTCTTTCTTTCTTTCTTTCTTTCTTTCTTTCTTTCTTTCTTTCTTTCTTTCTTCCTTCCTTCCTTCCTTCCTTCCTTCCTTCCTTCCTTCCTCTCTCTCTCTCTCTCTCTCTCTCTCTCTCTCTCTCTCTCTCTCTCTCTCTCTCTCTCTCTCTCCTCCCTTCCTTCCTTCCTTCCTTCCTTTCTCTCTCTCTCTCTTTCTTTCTTTCTTTCTTTTCTCTCTCTCTCTCCTCCCTCCCTCCCTCCCTCCCTTCCTTCCTTCCTTCCTTCCTTCCTTCCTTTCTTTCTTAAAAGATTTATTTATTTGTTATAGAGCAGCGTGGTGGCGCACGCCTTTAATCCCAGCACTCAGGAGGCAGAGGCAGGAGGATCTCTTTGAGTTTGAGGCCAGCCTGGTCTACGGAGTAAGTTCCAGGACAGGCTCCAAAGCTACCCAGAGAAACTGTCTCGAAAAAAAAAATTATTTATTTATTATAGTGTTCTGCCTGCATGCATGCTTGCATGCCAGAAGAGGGGACCAGATCTCATTACAGACGGTAGTGAGCCACCATGTGGTTGCTGGAACTTGAACTCTGGCCCATGCTCTCAGCCTCTGAGCCATCTCTCCAGCCCAGTCAGCTGTTTCTTAATTCCCTTCTTCCATCTTCTCTGCTGCCAGCAGGGTGTGCATACTATCAGTCCCCAAACAGGAAAAGGGTTATAGTGACATGGTCTGTTGAGCTCTTTATCTCAAACTTTTTAACATTTGATTTCATTTCAGTTACTGTTCCCCCTGCAATAGTTGGATCTAGCCAGCTGGATTTCCCCCCAGTAGATGCATCCATAGGAGGGTCACAGATTCACAGATGTTTTTTGAAACACATGAATGTTCAGAAAAAGGCACCATGTAAATAATGTATCCTTCCGGTTACAATTCAGTTCTATAAATGTACATTACAGACTTGGTTTCTAATGTATTTTAGAATGTATCTTGTATAATCTAATGTATCTTATATAAGGTTCTGAACTTGAATATTCAGGGGCTGGGAATGTAGCTCAGTGGCAGAGTGCTTGCCTAGCATGTTCAAGGTCCTGGGTTTAATCCCCAGTTCTGCCAAACTTCGAGTAGCAGAAGCCTGGAATATCAAATTGAACCCTCTTAGAGCAGTTTGTTTGGTTTTGAGACAGTATCTTGTAGACCAGGCTGATCTTGGAGTCACTATGAAGCCAATGCTGGCCTTAAACTCATCATCCTGTCTTCACCTGTCAAATGCTGAGGTCACAAGCTTAACTGTGGGACTCTGAACATCCTCAAGCAATCCCATATCTTCCTTATGAAACTATGACCAGAAAGACACGTCCTAATTGGCCCCTTGTAAATATGTATTGAATGGGCTGTCTTCCGGAAATGGATAAATGATGACTTCCTAGAGAGAGAAGACGCCTTTCACTGTTTGAAGTTTCCCCCTTGGGACCAGGCATATAGCAGCGTCGTATACAGTAACTACCTTTGACATTATGTCTCACAAACCTCCTTACAGTTGTTAGGGCACTAGGGTTGCAAAACTAACAGACTGGAGAGTCTGAACTGAAACATGGGTGGGTTTGACTTTCCACATTACACCTCTCCACAGCTTGGAGTCATTTTAAGACCTCAACTTTGCAAACACAGGGACTCTGTGTGTGTGTGTGTGTGTGTGTGTGTGTGTGTGTGTGTGTGTGTGCATGAATGTGTGTGGTGTGTATGGATGTGTGCACATGTGTGTGTATGTGTGTGTGTGTGTGTGTGTGTGCATGAATGTGTGTGGTGTGTATGGATGTGTGCACATGTGTGTGTATGTGTGTGTGTGTATGTATGTAGCTTGAGTTTTCCTGCCTGGCCCACAGTCAGGACAAATCTCTCTCACCTGCCAGTCCCACAGCCGCTCAAACCCAACCAAGTAAACACAGAGACTTATATTGGTTACAAACTATATGGCCGTGGCAGGCTTCTTGCTAACTGTTCTTACAGCTTAAATTAATCCATTTCTATAAGTCTGTACCTTGCCACATGGCTCGTGGCTTACCGGCATCTTCACATGCTGTTTGTCATCGTGGCGGCTGGCAGTGTCTCTCTGACTCAGCCTTCCACTTCCCAGCTTTATTCTCCTCCTTGTCCCGCCTACACTTCCTGCCTAGCCAATGGCCAATCAGTGTTTTAATTATTGACTAATCAGCAACACATTTGACATACAGAACATCCCACAGCATATGTATATGAGTGCCAGCACTCATAGAGGCCAGAGGCCTTGGATAGCCCTGATAGGAGTTACATGTGGCTGTGAGAATGTGTTGCAAAAGCACTTTTAACCACTGCAGGACTGATTTCCTAGAATCCACTCAGATGATCAAACTCTGGCTCTCTACTGTTAGGTGTGCTTACTAGAGTAACTAACGTCCCAGAATACTGATTTCATTACCTTTGAACCATGTTGTTGTAGGTTATACTACAAAGAGTGTGGATTCTAACAGGTTACAAAGTGAAAGTCTGTGGACACCACCTAGAACAACATGGAACCAAGCCAGCACACTGGCGGCTCCACAGACTTTCCCTACTGCATCCCAGTCACCTTCTCACGTACGCTCTGTGCCACCAGCAACACTGAGACACTGGACGGGATCCTCTCTGGGCTGCAGAAGCTACCCTGGAGGCAGAGGTCACTGGCTTAACAGCTTTGACACTGGTGCCATCTGACATCAGTACATCTCTAAACCGTGCCTGTGGGCTCCATCCCTGACTCCCACAGCGCTCCGCTTTCCTGGCCTGTGGAGTCTATGGACAGTGTGCTGGGAAAGGACCGATGACCGCCTCATTAACAAACGAGAGGCTTAGGTTTCATGACCCTGAGCCAATCCAGGGCACCAAGTACCCCACTATTTGCTTCTTCCTTTCCTGGAGTCCAGTGCCCTGCTCACCTGTTGGACTTTTCTTGCAGCAAGGTTATGCTTGAAAATGAAAACTCCAGGCTTCCGATAGGCCAGAGTTCCTTTCGAGAAGAGATGGAACATTAACAGATTTGTTAATAATGTTAATAGTTTGTCAATAATGTTTCAAAAGTGCCACCAACTCTCTAATAGTATCGCCCCTGTGTCCGTACCCAATGAGAACATGAGGAGGACTGAGACATTGTGCTGGCTTAATGGGAAGAAAAAGTAAGTGTTCACTGGGAAAGGGACAGCTCATTAATGCTCAAGCTAGAATTTCTGTGTGTTGTTATAGAGACAAGGCTAGTGATAACTTGTTTCCCATTGACCTTTGACCCATGAACCACAGGGAAGCATTTGGCTCTTAGGTTGTAATTTCTTCATATATTTTCTTCCCCATGAGGCTTGACTTTTACATGTCCATCAACGTCTTTGGAGATGGCATTTCTCTTGTCTTCAGGAATTAGTGGCACTCATTATTTCAGAAATGCCCAACTCACAGATGTAGCGCTCTTTCCTGTGTAGTATAAACAAACAGTTAGGGTTGCTAGTTTGTCTTTCTACTTTTTAAAGGACACTGACATGTTCACCCAAGTGTGCGTGCTGATGTCTGTAAGTGTAAACTCTCTGGGAAGAGAGCAAAGTGAGATCGTTCAACTATAGGGACAGTGCATAGGTTACACACGTGTTTGTCTGGTCTGTTTCTATCTGCACTGTGTAAGAACCAGCCTCACTTACATCCTCACCAGTTCTTGGAACTGTCACACTTCAAAACTGACTGGCTGATCTTATATATGTATAGTAATTACTCCTTGCAGTCTATTATTATCATCATTCATAATAATATAATCGTGTGTGTGATGTATGTGTGTGAGTGTGGTACATATGTGCCATGGCACACACACAGAGGTCAAAGGACAACTTTTGGGAGTCAGTTCTCTCCTTCCACCATGGAACATCCAGTGGATTTAATTCAGGCTATCAAGCTTGGTGCCAAGCACCTTTACTGGCTGAGCCATCTTGCCAGACACCATGTTTATTTTTATGTGTGTGTGTGTGTGTGTGTGTGTGTGTGTGTGTGTGTGTGTGTGCGTGCGTGCGCTCTGGGTCTCCAACCCAGCGCCTCAGAAATGGTAGGCACACTTCCTACTATTTAACTGCATCCCCAGCCCTGTTTCTATGATTTTTATTTTTGCCCCGTCTCTAGATCAAAATCGAACTCAAGCAAGCCCAGGAGAAGTTGCTAGACAACGCCAGGATGCACTCCTCACTCACGGCAGAGTGGAAGCACTGTCAGCAGAGAGTCAAGGAGCTGGAACTGGAGGGACTCAAGCAGGCTCGGAGCATCAAATCCCAGCAGAGCCTTCAGGAGAAGCTGGCTTGGGAGAAATCCAAAGTGGCCGATGCTCAGGAAAAGGTAATTATCTTCACACTCAAGAAGCAAATATGTACACGTCTAGAGCCCTGCTCCCTGAGGACCTTAAGAGACAGTTGTGTGCTAATGTTTCTATCTGTGGGCACGGGCTAATCCTTTCCTTTACTCTCCCTGTCTTTTCCTCTTTTTCATAATTTTATTCCATCTGCCCCTACTATTCTAATAAGCCTTGTATATTTTTGAAAAATGTATGAAGTTAAAAATGTAAATTTCTGGGACTGAGGAGATGGCTCAGTCAGTAAAGTGCTTGACACTGAGTTCGAATCCCCAGAACCCACAGTGCATGCCTATAATCCCAGCGTTGGAGAAACAGAAACAGGAGGGTTCCCTGAACCTGGCTGGCCAACCAGCCTAGCTAAATAGCTCCAGGCCAGCAAGAGACCCTGCCTCAAAAAATAGGATGGAGAGAGACAGAGGAGGACACCCTTTATCAACTCTTGGTTGGTCTCCACACACCTGTAAACACATGTGCATGCACGCGCACACATATATACACATGTCTATATATACACAAATGTAAATTTCGTTTAAGCTATAACATGAACTTAAAATGATTGAAGCCACAGGATATTTATACTTTTTTAATATTGAAGAATTTATTTTCTCTCATTTGAATTGGCTGTTTATATGATTTTTATTTTATAATCTCTAAAAAATAGACTTATTTATTTTATTGTATGTGTATGAGTGTTTTGCCTGCATGTATGTATGTACACGCACCACATACATGTCTGGTGCCTGAGAAGGTCAGAAGAGGGCTTGGACCCCTGGGACTGGAGTTACAGATGGTTGAGAGCTGCCATGTGGGTGCTGGGAACTGAACCCAGGTTGTTTTCGAGATCAATAAGTAATTTTAAGATTTTTGCTGTGGAATTAGCTATTTTCTAAGACTGCCCCTGCATTTTGGATTGCTTAACATCAGGTGTCAATAGACTATAACAGCTAGGCAGTGGTGACACTTGTCTTTAATCCCAGCACTCAGGAGGCATAGACAGGCAGATCTCTGAGTTCTGAGTTCAAGGCCAGCCTGGTCTACAGAGTGAGTTCCAGGAAAGCCAGGGTTACACAGAGAAACCCTGTCTCAAAAAACCAAAAACGAACAACAACATCAACAAAAAAAAATAGAATATAACAGTGTGTGTGTGTGTGTGTGTGTGTGTGTGTGTGTGTGTGTGTGTGTGTGTAGATATCCCCCTGCATTGCTGTCTTACTGCCTTGAAACTACTAAACAGCAGATGTGTGTCAGGAGATGAGGGTGCATTCCTCTTCCAAACAGCATAGAAGTAAAGACAAGCCCTGCACACTGCCACAGGACACAGTGGACGAGCTGCTGCATGTGTACACACTAGCCTGCAACTGCAGCAATGAACAATGGGTATGACCAGGACACCAGGAGCTCGCTCGTTGCTGCATGTCACTTGCAGAAGCCAGTGAGCAAGAGAGAGGAACCGAATCCTAAAACTGCACATTTTGCTGGGTGTGGTGGTGCATGCCTTCAAACAGGTGGATCTCTGAATTTGAGGGCAGCCTGGTCTACACAGCTAGTTCTGGGCCAGCCAAGGCTACACAGGGAGACAAAAACAAAACAAAACAAAACACAACCTTTGCTTTATTCGGAGAGCTAGCAATCTGAGAAGATGGTGGATTAACATCTGAAAAAAACTGTCTTCGGTCTCAACCTCTAGCCAGTGATTACATGGAGATGGGGAGGCAGAACAGGGGCAAGCAGGCAGGCACTTGAGAGTGAGGCCTAGCCCCTCTGCTCAGGGGCGTAGCCGGCTTCTGGTACCCATGATATCTGTGCCCCTCATTATCACCCTCATTCTTCCCTTGTCCTCTGGATGGTTTTGCTCAGGTACTTGGAGCACTGAGTCAATTAGTCTCTGCTAGCATCAACCTTGTCCCCTCCAGGGCACCAGGACCAGGGTGTGTGTGTGGGGGGGGGGGGGGGGGATGAGAACACATAAACCATTAAAACATGTACATGTGCCGGGCGGTGGTGGCACACGCCTTTAATCCCAGCACTCAGGAGGCAGAGGCAGGCGGATCTCTGTGATTTCGAGGCCAGCCTGGGCTACAAAGTGAGTTTCCAGGAAAGGCGCAAAGCTACACAGAGAAACCCTGTCTCAAAAAACCAAAAAAAACAAAAAAAACAAAAAAAAAAAACAAAAAAAAAAAAAAAAAAAAAAAAAAACCATGTACATGCTAAGCTGCCAACAACATGCATGTTCAGATTCCTTTTCACGGTGTAAAGCCTGAGAATTATCTTTGTAACACAGACTAGGAAGGAGCCCCTAACAGCCCCTCCCGTCTCCTATCACAGGTACTTGCTATCATTCAGTTTAGTATAGAGTTTGTGGTTGAAAAGGATTACACCCTCCATAATGTTTTACTTTTTCATCCAAGATTTTGGACCTGCAGCAGAAACTAGACCATGCTGGACAAGTCTGCCTTTCAGATGCTTGTGTTTTGCTTAAGAAGCAACTAGAGGAGGAGATCAAGGAAGCGAAGAGCAGTGAGGCTAGGCTGCAGCAGCAGTTGCAGGAGGAGCAGCAGAGGAGGTAAGGACCGCCAGGGTGTGGGGCTCCTGGGGCGGAGGACCTGCCTGGGACACCGGTAGATTGCTATAAGTGGATTAACCTGTGAAATCTAATGCGTTGCTTGCCTAACTCTCTGATATGATTTGCACAAATTCAGGCTTCATTGAAGTTATATTTTTTTATCCATTGGCTAATGTTCTTCCAGATATTTCTAGATCATTATAGGAATCTTTGGCATCAACAAACTGCTCAAGGATAAGAACTGTCACTTCCCCTCCCCCTCAAAATAAGTGTTACAATTCTGAATTAAAACATTCTTTTGGATGCCCTGGGCCTTAATGACAGTGCTTCTCATTTGTATGATGTTCAAATGAGCCATACATATTTTGAGAAAAAAATATATTATCCACTAAAAACTCACAGAGATGTTCACACATACTTTGTAGCTCAGAATCTTACTTCCATCTATACTTAGAAGTTCTATGCTTGGTCCTAGCCCAAAATACTACTGAGTAAATATTTGTTGAATGGATGAATGTTTGAGTATGCAACTGGCTGGATATTTGTATGAATGAAGACTGAATACACTCAATGAGAGGCCGTAGGAAAACACTTGCCTCACCTGCCGTGTCTGGGAAGATGGTGGGCTAACCTGTCATAGCGCAGTTAGATCCTAGGTAGTACTGCTCACAAGAGAGCAGCAGGACACCCCAAAGACAAGCGTACCCTGAGCTGACACAACCCTGATGGATGATAATGCTTGCAGGTCGAAGGGCAGATAACCATATCAGCCACGCACCCAGGAAGTGCCAGCAAGCTTGCCACAAGTCCAGATAGCTGAACTAAGAAAACCTCCATTTTAAAAATGACATGGAGGGCCTAGGGTGAGGTGGACAGGTGGCTTAGTGGTTAAGAGCACTGGCTGCTCTTGTAGAGGACAGGAATTTAGTTCCCAACACTTCACCAACATAGCCATCGTCCCAGGCCCTCACTCTTCTTCTCTGGGGTGAAAGTCTTGCCCAGGCTGGTCTCAAACATGTGGGATCAAGGGATGTTCCTGCTTCACAGTGTCCCAGGTTTCGGGGACCACATGTGAGTGTACCACTCTCAGCAGAATCCGGTTTCTATCATGGATACAGCGGTCGGTGCCCATGTCGTCTGTTCTCCTTATGTGACTTTACGTTGTTTACGTCTTTCAAGAATTCCCTCAAAAAAAAAAAAAAAAAAGGGCTGGAGAGATGGCTCAGAGGTTGGGAGCACTGGCTGCTCTTCCAGAGGTCCTGAGTTCAGTTCCCAGCAACCACATGGTGGCTCACAACCACCTAATGAGATCTGGCTCCCTCTTCTGGTCATACATGCTGTATACATAATAAATAAATAAATCTTTAAAAAAAAAAAAAAAAAGCCGGGTGGTGGTGGCGCACGCCTTTAATCCCAGCACTTGGGAGGCAGAGTCAGGCGGTTCTCTGTGAGTTCGAGGCCAGCCTGGGCTACAGAGTGAGTTCCAGGAAAGGCGCAAAGCTACACAGAGAAACCCTGTCTCAAAAACAAAAAAAAGAAGAAGAAGAAGAAGAAGAATTCAGTCCATTCATTATCTGACTTATCAGACCTGTGGGCATAGAGTTGTTTATGGTGTTATAATGATATAATAATATCCTTTCAATATCTGTGGGATCAATAGAGGCGGCCCCTGTTTCATTTCTGGTATTAATAATTTCTATGTTCTGTGCGTCTTGGTTCACTTGTCTAAATAGAGATTTGTCCATTTGCATTGGTCTTTTCAAAGAACTACCTTTGGTTTTATTTCATTTTCTCTATTTTTTTTCCTGATTCCATTTATCTGTCTACCCCCACTCCACTGCCCCACACTTCTTGACAGGGTCTCATGTAGCCCAGGCTGGCCTCAGATTCACTATATAGCTGAGGCTAGCCTTAAACTCCCAATCCTTATGTTGCCACCTTCCAAGTTCTGGGATTACATGTGTGCCACTGCACCCCACTTGGTCTGAGACAACAGAGTCTCACTTTGTAGTCCAGGCTATCTTAGAACTCACTATATACCCAAGCTTGCCTCAGACTCACAACAATTCTTCTGCCTCAGCTTCCAGAATGCTGGAATTGCAGGCACATAGCACCACCCCTGGCTGAGGTTCTCATTTGTATTATTCTTTTCTTCCGTTTGTTCTGGGGTTATAATGCTAGTCCTTCTCTGACTTCTTATGGCAAAAACTTGGAGTATTTGGTTTTAGATTTCCCTTCCTTTATAACATACATATTTACTGGTACCAGTTTCTCTGCTTCTGATGCATTCCACAAAGTCTGTATGTTCTACTTTCATTTAATTCAAAATGTTCTTGACTCCTCATGAAACATCCTTGCCTCTGCAACACTTAGGAGTCTGTTGACTCCAGACATCTGGGGTTTCCTGTTGATGGTGTGCAGTTTCATAAATACTATCATTTTAAATTGTTGTATAGTATTCTCTTACATAGTGACAATTAATCATGGTTGTCAACCAGACTGCTTTAGAGATGCCCAGAACATCAGCAAAACATACATCTGGGTGTCTGTGGGGGTCGGCTTGTGGGTCAGCGTCCTCATTGGGAGAGACCCACTCTGAATGAGCAGCAACTTCCAAAAGTTTGGGGCCCAGATGGAATGGGAATGGGAGAGGAGGAGAACATTGCTCTCCCAAGGGCGGGGCCCCCGCTGAACAATGCAAGGACCCTGGATCCCTCTGAATGTGGCTCTGTACCAGCAGCTGTCCTGGGAGCTTTCAGACGCTCATCAGCCTGGAACTGGGCTGTACTGCTGACCTCCTTGTGTTCTGAGGCTTCCGGCTTCTTAGATGGAGCAGCCCTGAAGCAGCTGACTATTGTGAACCTATTCAGCTCTGGCCCTGTGAGTTCATGCGACACACCCCTACTGTACATATTTAATTGGTTCCAGTTCCCTGGAAACCTCTGACCATACACAGAAATATAACTTCTGTTGATTGGTTGTCTGAAACAGAATTTTGCCACGTTGTCCAGGCTTTGCCTTGAACTCCTGAGCTCATGTGATCCTCCTGCCTCAGCCTCCTGTGTAGATAGGGCTCCAGTCGTGCACCACTGCACAGAGCTTAACGTACATGTTGTAGTTTTTGTTCGTTTGTTTTTCTGCTCTAAATAACACTCCAGTGAGTGCTGAGGATGTAACTCACTGGTGGAGTACCTACCGATCATGCACAAAGGCCTGAATTCAGTCTTAGCACTGCCCCAAAATTGTTTGTTTGTTTGTTATTTTAAAAGGAGTTTGAGGGGCTGGGAGGTGGCTCAGTGGGTTAAGCAGTTGCTATGCAAGCTTGACTCCTTGTGTTCAATCCCCTGAACCCACTGAAACGTGAAAAGGAGAGAACCAACTCCATAAAATCGTCCTCTGACTTTTATGTGCGCTCACACACACAGACACACATACACACACACACACACACACACACACACACACACACACACACACACACACACACACACCATGGCTGATGTGCACCCCACACATGTGTATACACACACACACACACACACACACATTAAAAACACACACACATACATACACACTCACAATTTTAAAAAAGTAAGGGAATTTGAGAGCCATTGAGATACCCCAGCATGTAAAGATCCTCACCTCCAATCCTGACAATCTGAGTTCAATGCCAGAAACTGACGTGGGGGAAGGAGAGAACAGATTCCTGCACACTGTCTTCTGACCTCCACATGAAAACTACGGCACATGCACACACACACAAACAAATAGATGTTATTTAAACACTTCAAGTGGAGTTTGAATACTGCTAAAATGAACATCCTGTAAAAGCACCCAGCAGGATCATCTGTGGAACTGGGGGCTTGAGATAGCCTTCCTCAGTGACAGTCATCGAGGGTGAGAGTGAAGCAGTCAGCATGAGAGGCTGAGAGGTGACGAAGAGGCCGAGGAAGGAGGACACGGAAAGGTTGGGTGGGTTAGGGAGAGTAGTGGCTGGTGAGAAAATGAATCCAGAAAGCCAGGTAGCCTGGTTCACACCGAGGTGATGGACAGGCCACACTGAATAGTTGGGGCTCTACTGTAAGCGCAAGGGGCTGCCACTGGAGGATTTTAGGCAAGGGATTGTGGAGTTTGGAGTGTAGCTCTGTGGTGGAACAGTTGCCTAGCAGGCGTGAGACCCTGGGTTCAACAGCCAACACCAGAAAAACAATGGAGGATGTTCCAGGATTCAGTTGTGACTGAGGAAGAAAACTCTCCTGTGTAAATGGTGAAGAGATTCAGGCCACAGGGAAAACAGAGGATCTTGTCGGACCCTGTCAGTCTCAGGACCTGCTAGTCTTTCATCGCTGAAACCATGTATTTTGTGAAGTGTCTGTTCTATCTGGTAGTTTCTAGCAAATCCCTGAGCTGCTTTTTTGACTCAGACTTCCCATTTTTCAACTTCCATTTGAACTCCCAGACTGCACTGTAGACAGCCCAAGGTCCTCTCAGTTCCAGCAGCTCGATATCACTTCAGCTCCAGGGCTGGGCACTTATCCAGGCCCTTGGACCAAAACTAGGGATGGAGCTGTCACTGGATCTCACTGTTTTCCCTCAGCTCCCCAGCCCTCGTGAAATGTCTGCGACAGAACTCACATGAGACCTGCAGAGCGTGATGTAGAAGACAGGCAGCTTAGTAGAGAACAGGGAAGATGTGGGCAAAGGGACCATTGTGTCAGTCTGCATTTTAGGCAGCATTCAGACTGTTTCTGAAGTCTCTAGAACAAGCAGTTTTCCCATCCAGATGACTAACAGGCCTGTCTAGATTGACCTGCCAGGGAGAAGGCAATGGTATGTCCTTGTTCTTTACCAGAATACCTCCTGCTGTGCAGTAATCCTGTAAGGTTTAGGTCTCTTGAGAGCACTTTCAATACTTATTAAGGATGTTCAAGGTACTTCTGGATGCCATGTCTCCTCATAGAGGAGGGACATGACTTAGGTCCATTCCCCTGGCCAGTACTTAACATCCAATGGTTGTAGCTAGAGTTTTCCTGCCTGGTCCACAGTCAGGACAAATCTCTCTCACCTGCCAGTCCCACAGCCGCTCAGACCCGACCAAGTAAACACAGAGACTTATATTGGTTACAAACTGTATGGCCGTGGCAGGCTTCTTGCAACTTTTCTTACAGCTTAAATTAATCCATTTCCATTAATCTATACCTTGCCACATGGCTCGTGGCTTACCGGCATCTTCACATGCTGTTTGTCATCGTGGCGGCTGGCAGTGTCTCTCTGACTCAGCCTTCCACTTCCCAGCTTTATTCTCCTCCTTGTCCCGCCTACACTTCCTGCCTAGCCAATGGCCAATCAGTGTTTTATTTATTGACTAATTAGCAACACATTTGCCATACAGACCATCCCACAGCAGATGGTTCCTGTTCGTGGATTTATAAGCTACTGATTATGAAGAAAGGGTCCAACCCCGATGTCTTCCAATATCTAGCCAGCTACCTAACAGAGCCGTAAAGAAGAAAGAGATGATGACAGCAGGGATGGCCACACATACAGACAGTGATTGGGATAAAGCCCAGTGAGGAAGGTGTGGGGTTAGGTGTGACGGGCAGAATCAAGCTACAACAATCCTTAGAGTGCCTGCACTTCTACCCAAGGATCAGAGCGAGAGGCGCAGAGCCAAGAGCCAGTGTCGCATGGTCTACCATCCAATAACCAGTCGGCTGCCTAGACTGCTTCAATTAGAGACAGCAAGGCTGTCTGTCTGTCCAGTGTCAGACTCTAATGCCCATCGGTGCCATTTCATCATTGCCACCATCATATTCTTCGAGATGACTCTCCTGGATGTGGAGAATCTCAGTTTGCAATCCTCAAAAAGTCTCTCCAGGAACTATAGTTTGACAGGTCTCTCTGGAAGAGCAGGTACTGATGGCGCTCATGAGGATGGGTGAATCTCCCCAGCATTGCAGCTCATCAGTCCTCGAGTCAGCTGCAGCAGGGTTCCGTGTGTGCACCAGTACCAGCAGTGTGTCAGTCAGCTGCAGCAGGATGCCGTGTGTATGCACCAGTACCAGCAGTGTGTCAGTCAGCTGCAGCAGGGTGCCATGTGTGTGTGTGCACCAGTACCAGCAGTGTGTCAGTCAGCCGCAGCAGGGTTCCGTGTGTGCACCAGTACCAGCAGTGTGTCAGTCAGCTGCAGCAGGGTGCCGTGTGTGTGTGTGCACCAGTACCAGCAGTGTGTCAGTCAGCTGCAGCAGGGTTCCATGTGTGTGTGCACCAGTACCAGCAGTGTGTCAGTCAGCTGCAGCAGGATGCCGTGTGTATGCACCAGTACCAGCAGTGTGTCAGTCAGCTGCAGCAGGGTGCCGTGTGTGTGCACCAGTACCAGCAGTGTGTCAGTCAGCCGCAGCAGGGTTCCGTGTGTGCACCAGTACCAGCAGTGTGTCAGTCAGCTGCAGCAGGGTGCCGTGTGTGTGTGTGCACCAGTACCAGCAGTGTGTCAGTCAGCTGCAGCAGGGTTCCATGTGTGTGTGCACCAGTACCAGCAGTGTGTCAGTCAGCTGCAGCAGGGTTCCGTGTGTGTGCACCAGTAACAGCAGTGTATCAGTCAGCTGCAGCAGGGTGCCGTGTGTGTGCACCAGTACCAGCAGTGTGTCAGTCAGCTGCAGCAGGGTGCCGTGTGTGTGCACCAGTACCAGCAGTGTGTCAGTCAGCCGCAGCAGGGTGCCATGTGTGCACCAGTACCAGCAGTGTGTGGAGCCAGGGATTGCGGGGTCAGCCTGTAAAGCACTGTGGAAGAAGGATATGGATTCAGGAACAGAGCCCCACCTCAGCCTTGTCCTAGCTGTTCTTGGTGCCGCATCTTTCTCATCTCTGCCGTAAGGGAAATGATTTCTTCCTCATGGGTTTGTTTTGATGGTAAGAGGGAGAATCAAGGAAAAGCTTCTATTACGTAGGAGGTTCCCTGCCTGGTCCCTTTACCTTGCAGACACGTAACTGTACCTCACTCTGCTGGACCCACAGGCTCCCTCTGGCTGGCACCAAAGTTGTGGGTCTAGGAGTCATTTGCAGAGTGTAGCAGTACACAGAGTGAGTGGTGTGCATTGACTGCCCTCAGGGTACTCCTGGACCAGGACGTGAATGAGCTCCAGAGGCAAGTGAGGACCTTGCAGGATAAGGAGGACCAGCGGGAAGCAGCCCATTCCCAGCAGCGAGAGACTCTAAGCCAACAACTGGAAAGTGAGAAGAGGAAGTGTGAGGAGGTAAGTGCAGACATGCCTCCCTGTTTTCCTGTTCTCAGAGGCTGCAGTGCGTGTCCGTCATCGCTATTTAGCTAATTAGCACTGAGCACACCTTACCTACTGAATTTAGCTAAATCTACCATATATATACATATGTATGTGTGTGTGTGTATGTGTGTGTATACACACACACACACACACACACACAAGTGGAGGGGAGGGAAATAGACTTCCCTGTAGCCTCCCAGGCTGTTTGACTGGGCTATAAATTGAATTGGCAGGAGCTGGAGAGATGGCTCAATGATTATGTGCACTGGCTGCTCTTCCAGAGGACCCAGGTTTAATTCCAAGCACCCACATGGCAGCTCACAACTGTCTGTAACTCTAGTTCTAAGGGATCCTACATCCTCTTTGGAATTTCTGAGGTGCCAGACACACATGCAGTGCAGAGACGTACATGCAGACAGAAGATCTATATACATAAAATGAAAGAGATACATTTTTAGCTGGGCGGTGGTGGCACATGCCTTTAATCCCAGCACTCAGGAGGCAGGGCCAGGCGGATCTTTGTGAGTTCAAGGCCAGCCTGGTCTATAGAGCAAGATCCAGGACAGGCACCAAAACTACACAGAGAAACCCTGTCTCAAAAACCAAAAAAAAAAAATATATATATATATATATATATATATATATATATATATATATATATATTTAAAGATTAATCAACATAGGGCAAATTAGTAGGAGTAAGACCACTTCAATTACATATATATGTATGGGTGTCCCACAAAACATGAGACTTAAAACAGGTCAGATATCCGAAGCTTGTACAACATCCTGAGCTATCGAGAAAGGGCCTTGGAACCTCTGGAGCATAATGGAGACAAGCTGTGGGAGAGCATGGGGAGGAACTGTAGGGTGGGGAAGGGTTGTCTCAGATACAGACACAAGTCCAGTAGGTAAGGGGCGCACGCCTTTAATCCCAGCATTCAGGAGTCAGAGGCAGGTGGATTTCTGTGAGTTTGAGGCCAGTCTGGTCTACAGAGTGAGTTCCAAAACAGCCAGGGTTACAACTGTCTTGAAAGAGAAATCCTGTCTCAGAAAAAAAAAAAATTTAAAAAGAAAAAGAAAGAAAGAAAATGCCCTACTTCTGGATCTTATGGAGGCATTTTCTCAGTTGAGGTTCCCTCCTTTCAGAAGACTCTAGCTTGTGTCAAGTTGACACAAAACCAGCCAGCACATAGGGACACATCCTGTCCTATGGTCATGTTTTGGGGTGGTGTGTCCTGAGCCCCAACACAAACAAGAAGGGACTTAACACATGAGGAAAAATGCTTGCAAAGCTGCTGAGTGGGAGATCAAAAGAACCTGCTGTGGCCTTCCGCTCTGGCTTCAGGGGATGTGACGCCCTCTTCAGGCCTCTGCTGGTACGCATGCAGAGATGGACACACACACATATATATATAAATAAAAGCAGAATGCCTCAGGAAACATTTGTTTTCTTGGTTGCCAGCTTATTTTAAAAGGTCGCGACTCAGAAACAGCCAGAAGGAAGAGATAGCCAGGAATGTGGGATGGAACACAGAGCGCATGTGTCCACTCTGCGCCTCCGTGTGTTCACCAACCCACGAGCTCTAATTCCTAACCCCGTGGAATTTTAGGGAAGTTTCTGGCTCAGGGTTCTGTACAAATGAACTTGGAAGTGATCCTATTCCATCCTAACCACAAATAAAAAGCTGAGCAAGCTGAAAACTTTTAACAATACTTCTTAGTCTATCAGAGAAGTAGGGTCACAAGCCCTGTCTTGGTGTTCTATTGCTGTGAAGAGACACCATGACCACGCAACTCTTATAAAGGAAAGCATTTAATTGTGGTGGCTCCCTTACAGGTCAGAGGTTCAGTCCATTATCATCATGGCAGGACATGGCAGCATGCAGGCAGACATGGTGCTGGAGAGGTAGCTGCTACATATTCATCTGCAGGCAACAGGAAGTAGACTGTCTCACTGGGCGTGGCTTGAACATATATGAGACCTCAAAGCCCACCTCCACAGTGACACACTTCCTCCAACAAGACCACACCTACTCCAACAAGGCCTCACCTCCTAATAGTGCCATTCCCTTCGAGGGCCATTTTCTTTCAGACCACCACAGGGCCACTGCCCCCTGAAGTTGGAGAGACTGACACAGTGCCACAGAGAAGCCCTGGTGAGAACTGCCAGGAAAGCCTGTGCCACCAAAACTGATGAACTGTTGAAGCTCAGTGTGAAAAGAAAATTCTGCAAGACGAGACCTCCAGGGGACTCTACAGTTTCAAGGCCCCCCACACTTACTTTCATGGTTTCACTCCCAGGTTCTGACTGTGAATATTTGAGGAATCTCTCCAGGGTCTCCTGGCTGGAGGGGCATTGGGGAGGGGGACATTCAAAGTTTGTTAGCAAGAGAAACTGTTTAATTAGAACCTAACATGATGGGGTTTTGTCAGAACCTAACTGACCCAGGGCAAGAGAAACTTGCGATTTCAGCCGACTCTGCCCCCATTTAAAGGGAAGAAATGAAGGTGGAGAAAAAGGCATGTGTAAGGGCCATGTTCAAAGGTGTAGTTGTCTGAAAGATTATGACCTAATTGTAGGAGCAGAGAATGTGGCCCATCTCCCTTGCCTTACCAACACACACTAAATACCTGTCTCTAACAACGTCCTTCATCATGTCTGCCTATAAAGAAAAATTCCCAAGACATATTAAGACACAACTTGAAGAAACTGAAACACGGCAGAATCAAGACCCAGATATGACGGGAATATTGAAGTTATCAGGAGTGTAAAGCACCTGTGATTAGTGTGTTGAAGCTTTAATAAAGCAGACGCATGGCATGTAAGAGGAGATGGGCAGTAGAAACAGAGAGACGGAAAGGAAAAAGAAATGCAAGACATAGAGGCCTCAGTGGCGGAAGTGGTGGCCACCTGTGATGGGGCTCTTAGCACACTGCACACGGCTGAGGGAGGAATCCTGGATCACGAGGAAATCACGACAGAAACCTTGAACCCATCGAGCAAAGGGAACGTTAAGGGAAAAGAACAGACTACCCAGAAACCGTGAGACAAATACAGAAACTGTAACACACAATGGAAATAATGGAAAATCAGAGAAAAAGAAGATGAGACACTTGAAATGATATGATTGAGAATACCCAGAAGTTAATGCCAGATGCTGAACCACAGATCCGGAAAGTTCAGAGAATGCCAATCAAGATGAGCGACAGAAAAACTACATGTAGATTCATAACGTTTAAATCAAAGTTCAAAGAGAAAAGGGAAATCCTGCAAGAAGACAGAGGAATAAAATACTTCCTCAGATAGACAGAATTGGAGAGTTTGTTGCTAGCAAACCGGCTTTGAAAGCAATGTTAAGAGATGTTCTTTAGGGGGCTGGGGCTGGGGTGGCTCATGCCGGGTGATACTAGGCGTATCCCTGGGCTCCAGGCTGTTGTAGGGAGTGGGTGGCAGGCACAGGCAGTCAGGAGTGTGAGGTGTCAGCCAAGGTGGTGCAGCCATGACGGTGGGGGAGAGCATGGTCTGGGTGGACCCCGAGAAGACAGGATGGACATCAAGAAGGATCAGATCATTGAGATGGCCTGTCTGAGAACTGACTCTGATCTTAACATTTTGGCTAAAGGTTCCAACCTGATGATGGAGCAGCCGGAGGAGCTGCTGGACAGCATGTCAGATTGGTACGAGGAGCATCATGGGACGTCTGGTCTCACCAAGGCAGTGAAGGAGAGTATAATTACACTGCAGCAGACAGAGTGTGAATTTCTGTCCTTTGTATGACAGCTTATTCCTCCGGGGCTCTGCCCACAGGCAGGGAATTCAGTCCATGCAGATAAGAAGTTTCCTGACAAATCTATCCCAGTCCATGAACCATCTTCATCATAGGATCATTGACGTGAGCACTGTTCAAGAGCTGTGCAGACTCTGGTCTCCACGAGAGTTTGAATTTGCTCCGAAGAAGGCTGCTTCTCACAGGGCCCTCGGTGGCATCAGTGACAGCACTAAAGAGCTTCGGTTTTACCAAAATAAGGTCTTCAAGAAGAAAGACAGGCAAAAAGAAGAGGAAAATGATAGAGAACGGGGAAATGAGAAGACTGTGAGTTAAGCGCTCGCCTTATATTTAAGGCAACTTTGATAGTGCGGTTCGTACATCGGTTCACATTGAGAAGGCTGTGAGCTGATGCCAGTTCTCAAGCTGCAGAGTCTACCTGATTCTCCAGAAGTCACTTTGATTGTGTGTCTCTCCACTGATAACTCGGCAGAACACCCTTTTTTTTTTTTTTTTTTTTTTTTTTTTTTTGTTTTTGTTTTTCGAGACAGGGTTTCTCTGTGTAGCTTTGCGCCTTTCCTGGAACTCACTTGGTAGTCCAGGCTGGCCTCGAACTCACAGAGACCCGCCTGGCTCTGCCTCCCGAGTGCTGGGATTAAAGGCGTGCGCCACCACCGCCCGGCTGACACCCTTCTTTAAAAAAGACAGAAGTCTTTTTTAAATTTATTCATTTATTCATTTATTTTATGTGCATTGATGTTTTGCCTGCGTGTACGTCAGTGTGAGGGTGTCAGATCTTGGAGTTACATGTGGGTTCTGGGAATTGAACCTAGGTCCTCTGGAAGAGCAGTCACTGCTCTTGCTCTTAACTGTTGAGCCATCTCTCCAGCCCCAGAACCCCCTTTCGAAAGAAAAAAAAATTTTCCAGTTACCTTTGCATCTCCAGACTCCTCAAACAAATGAGACATCACTGTTTGTTTCTTCTAATCTGCCGTTTCCGTTACGACACAGCAACTCTTCTGTAAGATTCAGGCCATGCCCATCCCCTCAGTTCATATCTGCATTTGCTTATTATAGGCCATCTCTTTAATAATAAATAAATAAAAAGACATGAGAAAAACAAAGCAATGACAAAACCCACAAAAAAGACAAGAATCTACCCAAAGAAAGGAAGCCAGCCAGTCGGATGGCTCAGCGGGCAGAGGATCTTGCTGCCAAGCTGAAGACTTCTAAAAGTTGTCCTCTGACTCCACATGTACTCGAAGGCACATGCACACACAACAAATAAATAATTATTTAGTAAATATGAAGAGATGGCCCAGTGGTTAAGAGCATGAACTGCTCTTGCAGAGGACCCAGGTCCAGTTCCCAACACCCACATGGCGGTTCACAACCATAGAAGACTCTAGTTCCATTGCCCTCTTCTGGCTTCTTTGGGTATGGCACACCCATAGCGCACAGACATGCATGCCGGCATGCGCGCGCGCGCGTGCACAAACACACCCACCCCCCCCCCCCCACACACACACACATAAAAATGGAATACATTTCCAAAAGAAGGAAGAGCATCAGAGGAAGACTAGGTGAAGATAAAATGAAAGTTTTTATTTTGATTGATCTGGCATAGTTTGTTCAAAATAATAATGAGAGGGCGCTGGAGAGATGGCTCCGAGGTCAAAAGCACTGCTGCTCTTCCAGAGGCCCTAGTTGAGTCCCAGCCCCCATGCAGAAGGAATCCACCAGCGGGCCTGCACCTCTAGCAACAGGCACCTTCTTCCAAGGCACCTGCCTAAGATGCAATCCGTACAGATCCCCAAGCGAGGATTTTAAACCCTGCAGACTGCAAGGTGGGGGCTGCTTACACTGGGGCGGGGCAGGGGTGGGGGGGCTTGCATTCAAGGTCCTGTGAGATGTCATTCTTCCCAGTTGCTGTCTGTGCATCCCTGAGCCCTGTTTTCACGTAAGACAGCAAGGCCGTGAAATCAATTTGTGCTCTAAATCTGCCTCCACTTGATGAAGTTTCATTTTTTGTTACATTGGCCTTCTAGCTATGAAAGAGATTAAGATATTCATAAAACCTCTGTGGTCCTCTGACTATGGTGTTCCAGCAATTAGACACCTCAGTTGGAAACGTTCTCCTTGGAAGATCATTGACTTGATCAGAGGTGTCTAGCTCACTCTACAGACCTTGGAGTTGTCAGTTCCATCACAACACTGTTGGTTGAGTGAATCTGTTTTCATCTCTGAGGCAGCAGACTTGAGAAGGCACTTCATAGGAGAAAAGGTTGATTTCTCCTCTTGGTGTCAGAGGTCTCTGTCCCTGGCCTGAGACAAAGCATCCTGGTGGGAAGTCTGGTGGAGCAACTGTTCACCTGATGGCAGCCAAGAAGCAGAGAATGGAAGGGGAAAGGGCCGAACCTTTCCGGGCCATGCGTGGGTGATTATTTCCTCTTCCTCAATGAATCCAGCAAGGGGTCAATCCATTTTTATTTCAGAAACGTCAGGATCCAGCAGTTTCCCCAAAGTCCATCCGCGGGCCACCCTGCTTTGACATGAGCCTCTAGGGGGATGCTTCATGCCATCTCCCAAAGCACTTCCCTACAGGCATCTGTTAGCTGATAATGTAATCAGCTGTGGGTGCTTAGTGACAATGAGATCAGGTTACAGGTTCAGAATCCCTAATCCGCCCACCGAGTATTTAGGTGGATCTCTGTGAGTTGAAGGCCAGCTTGGTCTATAAAGCAAGTTTCAGGACAGCTACGGATGTTACACAGAGAAATCCTGTCTGGGAAAACAAAAACAAAAAAATCCCAAAACCAAAACTCGGGAATCCAAAATGCTCCCAAATCTGACATTTTTGGAGCTGGACATGGTGGCAGGCTGGAGCAGGACGATCGCTTTTAGCCCGGGAGTTCTAGGCCATGACGAGTAACACTGTGAGAACCTGTCTGGAACCAGGCATAGAAATACTGGAAATGTTTTGAATGCCGACATGACACTCCACACCTGACCTCAAGTGGTAGGTGTTATAAAAACCGCAGAAGGCAACCTTGGCGGGTTGGAGGCAGGGGCCTAGAAAGCCACGCCGGAGGGAGGGCAAGGGATGCAGAGTGCGCCTCTGGAGATAAGAGCTGAGGAGAGGAGGGATAAGAGAGGAAGAGAAGAAGAGACAGGAGAGGGGGAAGGAAGGAGGTGCAGACACGGACTCGTGGGAAGGGGGGGTACCTTTAATAAGAAGACTTAGCGCATGCGTATAGAGACAATGGATCATGTGCAGACTACGGCCGTAGGACCTGGGCTGTCTAGGTATTTGCCTGAATGTTAACAAGTGCATCCTGCCAGGTCCCCAAGGTGATGTCTAAATGCTAACAGTAAGTATCAAAATATAGCTGCACAAAAGAAATTATACTTTCAGGCTATGTGAATAAAGTGTATATGAGACACAAATGGATTTTGTCTTTGGCCTTGGGTCTCATTCCCAAGAGAGCTCATCAGTAATCGCAACTATCCCCCAAATCCTGACTGCCTCATGACAAGCATTCTGGGTAAGGGGTATTTGGCCTGAACCTTCTAATCTAACCAGCTCAGAGTCCCACTTTGAGTTTCTAGTCTCATGTGACCTCAGAGATGTGCGGCTTTCGGCCGGCCAGCAAGCCAGTGATGCCTCTGAGTGACCAGAAGTTGGATATCTTCTAATTCAATTATGACACAATTGATCTGAAGACAGTTTCGTCAGACCTCATGGATTAGGGTTCAGCCCTCAAGACTTCATACCCAGTGGCAAGGCTGAGCCTCTTGAATTATTTCTTTGTCTTCCCCTACCCTCTTTTCTTTGAGACAGGGTATCACATAACACCAGGGTCTCAAACTCTTATATAGCTGAAAATGCCCTTGACCAATTGCTAGGATTATAAGTAAATGCCGCCACATGTAGTTTTATGCAAGGCTGGGGATCCACCTTAAGACTTAGTGCAGGCTAAGCAATCACTGTCGGCTGAGCCACGTCCCTAGCATGGCCAGCAGAATTTCTGACCAACTAGAAATGAGCTGGTTCCCACGATTCCCCCTGATATTCAGTCACTTTGCTAGGGCACTCACACAACACAGGGCTCACCACACTGCTGCTTCCTGTTTTGTGGCAACCGGCATTTTAAAGGATAGAAATAAGCAACCAGACAAGGAGACACATGGGGTGAGGTCAGGAAGGGTCCTGAGCCAGGAGCTCCTGTCTCCCCGCGGTAGGAGTGAGCCACAGCCCAGCACATGGAAGAGTACTTGTTCATCTTCCTGCAAGCCCCTGTATTAAGCTGTCCCTAGGCTCATCAAATCCTGCCCTCTGGAGTTTATGTGAAGACCTCACTGCACAAGCACAGACCACTCCCTTTCCACCCACCCCCATGTTTTTCAGTATGTCAAGAGCAACCAGGAACTGTCAGAGAAGCTGTCCAGGCTACAACAAGAAAAGGAAGCTCTGTGGCAAGAGCACGGACAGTTTTTGGAGCAACTTGGTGAGCACGTGAGGTAAACAAAGCAGGTTCCCCATAGACCAACAGGATACAGAAAGGTCTTCTGCCCGCCCCCCCCCCCCCCCACACACACAAATAAAACAACACCCCAGAGCAATCAATCACACTGATGGGGCCATCAACATGATTTCCCAGTCCCATCTACACAATGTTCCAAGGAAGATGTGGGGCCCAATTCCTTCCCAAGAAGAGGGACTTAGGCAGGCAGTGGTGCACGCCTTTAATTCCAGCACTCGGGAGGCAGAGCCAGGCAGATCCCTGTGAGTTTGAGGCCAGCCTGGGCTACAGAGTGAGTTCCAGGAAAGGCTCTAAAGCTGCACAGAGAAATCCTGTCTCAAAAAACAAAAACAAACAAAAAAAGCAAAGAAAGAAGTTAACTGTTTGCTGTGCTCTCTGTCTATAGCTTGCTTTCTCCAAATATACCCTTCCACTATCTTAAAGGGTTTCCCCTACATTCTTCAATATTTACTTATTTGTTATTAATTTATGCATATGTGTGTGAGCCTACATGCATTTATGTGCACCATGTGTGTGTGCAGGAGCCCTTGGAGGCCAGAAGAGAGTGTCAGAACCCCTGGAATAGGAGTTACTGGCGCTTGTAAGCCGCAATGTGGGTGCTGGGAGCTGAACTGGTGTCCTCTGCAAGAGCAACAAGCACACCTAACCACTGAACCATTTCTCCAGGCCCTCTCTTACTTCCTTTCCTCAGGCTGGACAGTACGTGCACTGGACACTCGACAGCCAGGGATCTCAAAACTCTCAACCGAGACTTTGGTTTATACTTGGCCAATCACATTAGCGATCACCGCCATGTCACCTGCCTCCATGGCAGAGCCTTCCTGGGACCTCCCTGAGGCCAGGCACAAGTTCTCACTGCTAGCAACAAACACTGTCAATATGCTGGTATCAATCTGCTACAGAAATCCCTATACTGGTGATTATGAAACCACACTATTTTATTCAGTGTATTTCGTGCCTTGGCCAGCAGATGGCGCCAAACAGCGCAACGATGGAAAATGCAAGCAGGAAAGCTTTGCCGGCTCTAGACATGCTGGAATCAGCTTGTCATCCCACCACAGCCCTGATCTGTTTGGAATGACTTGGCGGTCTGATGATTGACTAGTACTATGCATCATTAATGCGCTGGCAAGCGTTCAAAAGCACCGGCCTCTACTGCCATCGTGATGGAGGAGTTGCTCTTTCTCCACATCCTCCTTTGTGCAAGCAATGAGGTCGAAGGGGGAGAGCACCTTGATGAAAATTTCCTCCAGTATTCTTGCTTTTGATGTATGTAGAATACATGTCGAAAAAAACTAATATACAATTCAATGCATTTTGACAAATGTGTATATACATGTAACTCCCACCTCAATCAAGATGCAGAACATGTACCCCCATGCTTAAGAGTCTCCCGCCTAGCCGGGCGGTGGTGGCGCACGCCTTTAATCCCAGCACTCGGGAGGCAGAGCCAGGCGGATCTCTGTGAGTTCGAGGCCAGTCTGGTCTCCAAAGCGAGTTCCAGGAAAGGCGCAAAGCTACACAGAGAAACCCTGTCTCGAAAAACCAAGAAAAAAAAAAAAAAAAAAAAAAAAAAAAAAGAGTCTCCCGCCTGTGTGCGGTCTGCTGCTCTCTCTCTCGCTCTCTCTGTCTTCCTCAGGCAGCCACTGTTGTGACGTCTGCGTTTTCCAGATTTCTAAATAGGCTCGCTTTGCACTGTATTCTCTTAGTGTCTGACTTCTGTCAGTCAACATCTTCCATTATTTTCATATGACTTACAACCAGGGTTTTCCTTTGTATTTTGAGTGTGTGTGTGTGTATGTGTGTGTGTTGTGTGTGTGTGTGTATTATGGCTGTGAGGCTGAATAATTTTCCATGTTATTTATGCATGACCTTTAGAAAAGTGGATCCAACCCTGGCTGCATGTGCCTGGGTACTTACATACATGAATTTAATCAAAATCTATGAAAAAAAATCAGTGTTTTCCCAAAGCATCACCACATAGTTCTAACACATATCTAGAATTGAAGAGCACAGATCTATGAAGCACAATGGAAATGTCAAAGCACCAGGTTCATTTTGGGTTTTGGCTCCCTCATCCCAGTCCTGTACAGAGAAATCTTGTGTGTGATGCTTTCCCAACTGCTTTTTCATGGGAACAGATTCCTCACCTTCTTGAAGTCCAAGTAATAGGCAAGCTGGTTTTACTTAGACACAAGCTAAGTTTCCCCCTAAGTGTGTGCTGCCTCGTGAGGCTGGTAGTTAACAAAGTCAGAAGGACAGAAAAGCTGCACTTTTGGGGGGCAAGCTGACCTAGAACCTCAGACCAACCAGTATCTAAGTCAGACAGCAGAAGTCTCTTGGTTCTTCCTGGCTGTAGGGCATCATCATATGTTCACAAGCCCACACACAGATAGACACAGACACACATACAACATACACATAAGTTTACAAAGCAGAAGGAAAGCAAAAGGACTATACAAAACATACTGGGAATTAGCTATTTTCCCGATGTCTCTATAATTTCTCCCTTTCCTTTCCAAATAAAGTAATTTTTTAGTTAATCTAAATGGCAAGACAGATTTTCTTTGGTAGGGAAGCTAAAGATTGGGGCTTTTAATTAGTTGTTTGTTTATTTCATTATTTTATGTGTGTGAGTGTTTTGCTTTTATATATGTAAGTACACCACATGCATGCCTGGTGTCCTCAGAGGTCTGAAGAGGGCATCAGGATCCCCTGGGAATGGAGTTATAGATGGTTGTGAGCCATCACTTGGGTGCTGGGAATTGAACCTGGGTCCTCCACAAGAGCAACAAGTGCCCTTAATTGCTCAGCCAATGCTCCAGCCCAAGATTGGGTTTTAATAACAAGGATAAGTAGAATTTCTAAAGGTATGTGTTGTGTGTCAGATGATGTCAAAACATCACTGAGCATCATGTCCCAGGCCTGTAACACTAGCTGTTGATTGGTAGAGGCAGGAGGATCAGGAGGTCAAGGTCGGCTTCAGATGATATAGCCAAACTCAAGCGGTCATGATTTTACTGGGTGTGGTGGCACACACCTATAATCTCAGTACTCAGAAAGTGGAGGCAAAAGGATCAGGAGTTCAAAGCCAGCCTGGGCCACATTGTGAGACACTGTCTCAAAATCAAAAAATCCATTAGATTGAGCTGGAGAGATGGCTCAGCGGTTAAGAGCACTGACTGTTCTTCCAGAGGTCCTGAGTTCAATTCCCAGCAACCACATGGTGGCTCACAACCATCTGTAATGAGGTCTGGTGCCCTCTTCTGGCCTGCAGGGATACATGCAGACAGAACACTGTATACATAATAAATAAACAAATCTTTAAAAAAAAAAATCCATTAGAGCCACTGTGAACACCCGGGAGACTTGGAGGAGAGGAGGAGGGTTGCATGCACTGTGAGATGCTCCATCTCTGATGTGCCTCGGGGTGTTGATACCCAGGAACGGTTTCCACTACACATTCCCAATGCAAAAGGAAATGAGATTGTTTATGGGAGGGAATCATCGTCTTAGGAATGGAAAACTATTACAGAAGTATGCATGTGTGTGTGTGTGTGTGTGTGTGTGTGTGTGTGTGTCTGTGTCTTTGTGTGTCTGTGTGTCTATGTCACACTATGTAGTAGGTGCTGTGCAAGGGCCAAGAATTGAAATAGGGTCCATGGCAAGTTTATGAATGTAGCTATCTATAGTGAATGCTGTTAGGGTACTGTATAAGAAACTGAATATAAAAAAAAGATAAACTTAATATAAATGGCTTCAGAGACCAGGAGGCAACTCAGTCAGTAACATTACATGAGGATCTGAATTTAGGTCCCCAGAAACCATGGAACAAGCCTGTAACCCTGGTGCTGAGGGAGAGGGGAAGACAAGCAGATCCCTGGAGCTCACTGGCCTGTCAGCCTGGTCAAATGGGTGAACTCCAGATTCAGTGAGAGACTCTGCCTAACACCCAGACATTGACCTTTGGACTCTGTACTTAACCATATGTTTATGCATACCTACATGTACACATGAACACACACACACACACACACACACACACACACACACACACACAGAGCAGAAGATATAAAACTGGACATGGTGACACATGCCTATAACCCCAGCAACTGGGATCATAAATTTGAGACCAGTCTGGGCTACAAAGTGAGTTCTAGGCCAGTCTAAACTACATAGTGGGACTCTGCCTCAAAGGACCGAAAAGGGGCATGCAGTGTGTTGGGGGTGTTTCTCTCTTACCTGACAGTGCAGACATAAGCAGTCCAGGATTGGCATGGAAGTTCACTGCATCAGAAGCCTAGGCTTCTATTATTTTGCTTTTGCTCCAGCATCTTGTATGTTTGGTTGGTTGGTTAGTAGGTTTTTAGTTTTTCAAGACAGGGTTTCTCTATGAGCCCTGGCTGTCCTGGAATTAGACCAGGCTAGTCTTGTGGAACCCAGACACATCGTTGAAGACAGTTCACTACAATAGTCACATTTCAGTCAGTAAGCCGGAAGAGGAGGCAAGTGCATGATGGTCCCCCTTAAGGCACACTGTTTTCCTCTTTACATTCTGTTAGCTAAAATGTACGTGGATTGGCGTAGCCACAAAGAAAGCTAGACAAATCCAGCTATACGGAAAACCAATTTAGTAATTTTTGAAGACAACCCTTGCTCAGACAAAACCCATGGATTCTTTAATGATAAAAAGAAAACTGGGGGGAGGGGGGTGGAGAGATGGCTCAGAGGTTAAAAGCACTGGCTGCTCTTCCACAAGTCCTGAATTCAATTCCCAGCAACGACATGGTGATTCATGACCATCTATAATGAGATCTGGTGCCCTCCTCTTCTGGCAGCAGGTATACATGCAAACAAAACACTGTATTCATATTAAAATAATCTTTAAAAAATTTTTTTTAAAAAGAAAGAAAACTAGGGGTCAACCATAAGGCTCAGCTGATAAAGGCACTTGCCACAAAGCCTCGTGACCCGAGTTCAGTCCCTAGAACCCACACGGTAGAAGGAGAGAACCAACTCATACAAGTTGTCTTCTGACCGCCACATACATGTTGTAGAAAAATAATAATAAAAATAATTTTAAAAAATTTAAAGAGTATAGGCCAGGTGTGGTGGCACGTGCCTTTAGGTTCATCACTTGGGAGAAAGGCAGAGCCAGGCGAATCTCTGTGAGTTGAAGGCCAGCCTGGTCTATATCAAGAGTTCCAGGTCAGCCAGGGATATATAGTGAGACCCTATCTCAAAACAAAACAAATAAAACAGTATAGCCAGGAATTTGAAAGCTGTAAGTAATAATTCTCATCAGTGGGGCAGGATTCAGAATTCCTATGTCAGGGATCTGAAGTCCAGAAGGTTCCTGAATTAAATAAACTCAGACACTAAAGCTGCCATCAGTTCAAACCAAGGTAACCCAAAGGCTTGAGTTCATGGGGCTGACTGAAGAGAGGGGGTTATTTTTGATTCATCCGCACATGGGGCGAAGATGTGAGGCAAGAAAGCATCCACATTAAAGGTCCATAGGTCATATCCCAAAGGAGGCCAAGTAGGTCCTACTTGTATTCTGGCATGCTTATCCTGAATTTTGCTTTTATAGAAACTACAAAGACAAACACCACTGCCACAAAGTCAAGCTGCAAAAGGTCAAGGACCGTCTAACTCATGAGCTAGAAATACGAAATAAGAGGATTAAAGAGCTCGAAGATGAAGTTGGGAAACTGCGACAAAAAATTGAAATGGTGAGGAAAAAAAAAAAAACAGCGCACTGACCGCACTAGTGGTCAGCAGTTTAAGAATGCCCGCCATGCCGGGCGGTGGTGGCGCACGCCTTTAATCCCAGCACTGGGGAGGCAGAGCCAGGTGGATCTCTGTGAGTTCGAGGCCAGCCTGGGCTACCAAGTGAGTTCCAGGAGAGGCGCAAAGCTACACAGAGAAACCCTGTCTCGAAAAACAAAAAACAAAGAACAAAAAAAAAAAAAAAAGAATGCCCGCCCAGTTTCCCGTTACCCACAGGCCCAGCTTTCATTTTTGCTCCCATCTTCCATCTTTCAGTGTGAAGAATTCTTTTTATTTTTAATGCGTGTGTGTGTGTGTGTGTGTGTGTGTGTGTGTGTGTGTATGTTTGCTTGTATGCAGATGCATGTGGATGTCAGGAGACAACCTCAGGGGCCACCTCCCAGAGCATGCGTGGTGTGCCTCCTTTCTCTCATTGGCCTGGCATTCAGCAATGAGACTAAACTGGTTGGCCAGCGATGGCCCAGGGATCCCCATCCTCACCACTCAGAGCTGGGATTACAAGCCCTCACAGGCATGCCCAACATTTTTAGGTGGGTTCTGGGGGTCAAACTCAGGGCCTCGTGCTTACAGGGCACTTTACCAACAGAGCTAGCTTCACCAGCCTGAATGTGAGGAATCCCTTAAGGACCTGAAAGACTTTTAGGGTTCCTAACCCAAATAGGGTGTTTAAGGTATTCCTCTGTAATTGTCTCACCTTTGAATGAAAATATCAGTCTTAGTGTGACGACTCGGGAGTTAAGAGCACTTACTGCTTTTACAGAGAACCCAGGTTTGGTTCCCAGAACACTCACGGTGCTTCACAACCATTCCTAACTCCAGTTCTAGGGGATCTGACGCCCTCTTCTGGCTTCATCGAGCACCAGTCACACATGTGGTTCATAAACATGTATGTGCATGCAAAGCACACATATACATAAAATAAAAATAAATCTTTTTTTAAAAAATAGTCTTTTGTGTGTTAGACAGTGTCCCCCAAATGCATGTCTCTTACATAGAGTACCAGATGCAACCTGCCAATTTGGAAGTCCCGCCTTTGCGGATTAGTGAATTAAAATGAGGTCATCCTAGGTGAGAGTGAGTTGGAAGTCCGATTGCCTGTGTCTTTGTAAGAGAAGTAGCAGATGCAGAGACAAGGACACATCCCATGGAAAGGAGCATCCCATGAGGACAGAGGTGGAGAGGGGAAGGATATGTCTATAAAGCCAGAGAAGATGGATGATCCCAGAAACCACCCCACAGGAGGAGGCTAGGAAGGAACAGGCTCTCTGTGAGGACTCAGGGTGCAGCCCAGCACTAGAGCATTTCCCTAACAGGCACAAGGCCCTGGGTTCAATCTCCAATACTGACAGGGAGATTTTCTGGGTCCCCAGAACTAACCCTGGCAGCATCTTGATTCCAGACTTCTAGCGCCCTAGAACTGTGACAAAATAAATTTCTGTCATGTAAAGTCACTAGGTATGTGATAATTTGATTTGTCTAAGGCATAGTAAGGAGGCTAAGTTCTTAACTTTCTCTGTCTGCCTGATAATGACTATAGCTAGGGGCCAGCAAGATGGCTCAGTGGGTAAAGGCGCCTGCTGCCAAGCCTGACGACCTGAGTTCAATCCCCAGGACCCATAAGGTGGAAGGAGAGAACTGACTCCTGCTGCTTACACTTTGTCCTCCACACACATGTTGTGGTGCACACCCATACACAAGTAAAATAATTGTTTAAAATAAATTAACAAACTAAAAGAGAACACAGCAAGTCGAACACGATGACACATGCCTGTCATCCCAGCACTCAAGAGGCTGAGGCAAGAATACCACCCTAGGATATGTAACAAGTCAAATCTCTGTTCACAGCAACAACAACAAAATATCTGCAAAGCAGATGGAAATGTATCCTGGGGTAAGATTTCAATGCAGAACATAGGATTCAGTTGCTCTTGCTGATGGTTTAATATCTGTTGGAATTAAAATACAAGGAAGACACTGTTTCTTCCTAGAAATTGAGTGGCACTATATATATATTTGAGACAGGGTTTCTCTGTGTAGCCCTGGATGTCCTGGAACTCACTCTGTAGACCAGGCTGTCCTGGTCTGGAACTCACAGAGATCCACCTGCCTCTGTCTCCCGAGTACTGGGATTAAAGGCATGTGTCACCACTGCCGGGCCCAACCCGCCACTGCAGTATTTCTAATTGTGAATGCATGCATTCCCTAAATAAACACCACCACCAGGAGGGCACCTAGTATAACTAAGGTTGATGCCAGCAAACAGATACCAACAGATTTGGTGGGGCAGAAAGAGAGAAAGCAAGACCTGGGAGCAGACGGAAGCTCTTTCATGGATATGTGGTTCTCCCTCTATGCTAATCCCTAGGAGAAGGCATTCCAGGACCAGATCATGACCCAAAATGACATCCTCCTCCTGGAAAAGAGGAAGCTTCTAGAACAAGTCACAAATCAAGAAGAACTGATCTGCAGCAATAAATCCACAATCTCTGCAATCCAGAGCAAGTAGGTGCAGTGGCGCATAGGTGATTCTGAGAACTGGGGGTGGGGCGGCGTCTGGCCAGTCCTGTGAGTCCGTCTGTTCTGCTGTCTTCTGCTTCCAATAGTTGATGCAAGTGCCAGCCACTGTGGCATTAAAGAGGGTGTCACGGGGCGGGGGGGGGGGGGGGGGGGGGGGGGGGCAAAAGTTTGTATAACAGTGGTAAAGCACATGCTTAGCATGTGTGAGGCCCTGTGTTTGATCCCTGCACAGAAGGGATCAAAGGGAAGGGAGAGAGGGAGGGAAGGAAGGAGGGAGAGAGGGAGGGAGGGAGGGAGGGAGAGAGAGAGAAAGGGAGGGAGAGAGGGATGGGGGAGGAAGAGAGGAAGACATTTCCAGCTGTGTCTCTGATTTATGCCATGTTTAGGGTGTTTTTACTGGATAAAGGAAATCAGCAGTTGCAGGAAAACTGCGTCCGGCTCATGCAGCACATCAATCTCTTAGAACGCATTATAAGGAGCATCCAGATTCGCAGAACGGAAGTAAGATGTGCACTTCGTACTGGGTCCTAATTCTAAGGTTTGGCTCACTGGTTCGCCCTGCCCTCTCTTGGCTTCATCGTCTTAGAACCACAGCCTGCTCCTGGCTGCACGGTGAGCTGTGACAGGCTCCTCAGGGGCACATGGGGCAGCAAACCTGTGGCTGTTCTTGGTGAACCCTGCTCGTCACTGGGTCAACTTTGATAACACTTTTTCCTGTGTGATCCCGAAGCCATCTGTGTATGCCTCTGAACGTCATTCTTAACATGCTACATTGTCATTTCCTTTCTTCTTCTCTAGATCAATAACTCAGCAGCGAGGTCCTAGAGGGCAAGAACTGTAGCTCACATGTGACCACATCTGAGGACAGGCACAGCTCAGACATGACTGTATCTGTAGACAGATAGAGCTCATACTTGACCATATCTGCAGACAGACGTTCTAGAATGCTTTGAGAATGAATGGATGCGAACTGTTTTCCCACATAAGCCTCGTTCTGAACAACCCTGTTTGCAGTGTATTATTCTAGCCCTGTTTGGAAAGAAAGAACAGCGAATCTGAGGCTCAGAAAGGTCAAGTGAAGCTAGTTTCGTTCGCTAATGAGTCAAGACTAAGGAGAGCAACTGAGTCTAAGAAAAGCATGCTCCAAATTCAAACACACAAATAGCCAAAAGGAATTGCGGAGAATAGTATAGGCTCAGTGGAGACCCGGAGTGTGGCTGGTGAAGCCCGGGGGACTTCAGTAAGCAGAATGAGGTGCTGGATCCAGGGTAGAGGCTGCTTTCTCCCTTCCCTGGTACGCATCACCTGCAAGGCGTCCCTTTGGAGGATGCCTCTCCACAGATCTGGTCACTGGGCTCTGTTGCTATAAGATCTGTGTCGTGTTTATTCTCACAAAGGTGATTATTTCTAAGCTACACAAGGTGTTTGTTTTCTAGCTGTCATCCAAAGTAGAACTCACGTGACCTGGTCGCCAACAGTTTCTCTATTTGCTTAAGTGAGTTTTTTTCTCAGATTTCTACATATTCATTCATTTATCAGCTGTTAACTCCAGCAATTGGGCTGGGTCCTGGAATACAGAGCGTCTGTGTTTTCATGTGTCTTCATTGCAGTACAGAAAGGCACACACACACACACACACACACACACACACACACACACATGAATAAATATGGTAGGCTTACAAGTCAGAGTTAGAAGACGACATGGAGGCTGGGCATGGTGGCTCACACCTGTAATGCCAGCACAGAGGAGCCTGAAGCAGGAGGGCTAGGAGTTCAAGACTAGCTTTTGCTACTTAAGAATTTCAAGGCTGGCCTGGAGTACAAAAGACTCTGTCTCAATCAAAACAACAACAACAACAATATACACACATTCAACAACAACAACAAAACATGTTCTGGCTGGCATACTCAAGTTAACAAAAACAGTTAGCCAGAAATGGAACCACAGAAGCTAAAAGGCAAGGTTAGCACATTTAGAGATTTTCCCAGAACTTTGGACTTCGATGGACTAGGTCTTTGTTTTCATTTTGGCAGGTGGTGCTGTCTGTGTGCTGAGTTCTATGACCTGAATGGTATTTCCATCATGGAGTCAGTTGTGCCAAGGTCTGGGGGACTACTAAGGTCTGGGGCCCTGTTAACAACCCCAGCAGAGAATCAGCAACAGGCCAAAGTCCGTCTTGGTGAACCAATGAGTTTGTTAGGGTTACTTACAGGAATATGGGTGAGGGTTACCTACAGGAGCAGAAATGACTCAAAGAGAGCTGAATCACCAAAGCCCACCCCAGCATGGGTGACAGCTCATGAAAGCTGGAAACCTGGGGCACCCTGAACAACCTGCAGGCAGCTCAGCAAGTTGGACAGTCCTTTCCAGGCAGCTCAGCTGGTCTGATTGTGTCTCTTAGCAGTCTTTATAGTGTATCAACTTGGAGCTTGAGGGGCCTGGTGAATCTAGTCAGTTTCAGGGATTTCCTGAAGCTTTTGAGTTAAGTCCTAAATTTAAAGCACTTTGTTGTGAGATGGCATGTTTCTCCTCCCTTTAGAACATCCTGAATCTTAAGGATCATCCCTGTAAGATGGAATGTTTTAACTCTTGCTGAGAAAAACAATATATAAGCTTATCATTCCCGCCAGGATTGCTGGGAATTTCTTCCACGTATTGCTTAGTCTATATAAAGGTTAAGCTGTGGTCCAGTTCAGGGGAACCGGTAAACCCCTGTAAAATTTGGTCTGTGTTCATCTCTGTTTTTATTTTGTCACTATCATTATTGTCCTTATTGGCTCTATTGGTTTGGGGAAGGGTTGTGACAAGAGTGCCCTACAGTGGCTGAACTGGAACACTCTATAGCCCAGGTTAACCTCAAACTCACATTGATCCTCCTGCCTCAGCCTCTTGAGTGTTGAGATTACAGGCACGAGCCACCATGGCCAGCTTTTATCTTTTTTTCTGGAAAAGAACATTTTATTTCACAAAAAAGATGATAAAGGCCATGTGTGACAGACACAACTAACATGGTCTCGGGTGAAAGCTGAGAGCTCTCATTCTAAGATCAGGAGCAAGATGAGACATTTTTGCTCTAACCACTTCTGTTCAGTGCAGCGCTGGAAGTCCTTGATGCGGTAACTTGGCAAAGACACAAGGTTTCCAAACAGGAAAGGAAAAAGTGAAACTCACTGTTGGCTAGTGATATGATCTTACACACAGAAATCACAACTGCTCCACTCTCCCTCTAAAACTATTAGAACAAGAAAAGAATACAGTTAAGCTGCAGGATCACACAAAAATCAAGTATTTCAGTCCACTAACAATGACTTATATGAGAAGGAAATCAAGAAATAAGCCAGCGAGATCCTCAGTGGGTAAAGGTGCTTGCTGCCAAGCCTGACAACTGAGTTCCATCCCTAGAATGTACATGGTGGAAGCGGGGAACCAGTTCCCACAAGATGTTTTCTGACCTCTACACACCGAGACAGACAAACAGATAAATGTAATGGAAAAAGAAAGAAGTCAGAAAAGAGATTAGTGGTAGAAGGCTTGTCTGGAATACTCAGGGCCCTGGTTCAATCTCTACCATTGCCTCTCAAAAAAAAAAGTTTAGGCTGGGGATAGAGTTCAGTTGTTAGAATGCACATAGCTCTGGGTTTGCTCCCTGGCAGAGTGTATGTGTATGTGTGTTTGTGTGTGTGGGGGGGGAGAGGTTGAGAGGGAGATAGGAGATGAGGAAGCAGAGAGAGAAGAAAGAGAAAGGAGAGGAGAGCAGGAAAGAGGAGAAGAGGAGAAGGGGAGAGATACAAGAACTGTGGGAAGGCATTGGTGGAGGAGGGTAAGCAACTATTCCTTGTATACCCGTGTATACTTATATTGCTTGTAGGATCATATTGCCAGTGGTTTATCATTATAAAGATTGAATAGGGCCAAGCGGTGGTGGCACATGCCTTTAACCCCAGCACTTGGGAGGCAGAGGCAGGTGGAGCTCAGTGAGTTCGAGGCCAGCCTGGTCTACAAAGGTAGATCCAGGACAGCCAAGACTGTTACACAGAGAAACCCTGTCTCAAAAAACCAAATAATAATAATAATAATAATAATAATAATAATAATAATAAAATAAACAGGGCTGGAGCAGTTGTTCAATGGTTAAGAGTAATTGTTGTTGTTGCAGGGTTACCTGAGTTTACTTCCCAGCACCCACATCAGGGGGCTGATAGCCACCTGTAGCTCCAACTCCAGGGGATCTAACACATATACCTACATACATCCACACATACTCACACACACAGAACAAACATGATAAATATTTTAAAGCTATAATATTTTTTTCTTTTAGGAAACAATGATCAGTGACACTGCTGCTTTTGAAATACTCAGGAAAATGCTCCCTTTGCAGAGCGCCAGGTGAGTTAGATACATCTGGGCAGTCAGTATCTGCACACCCGAGGCAGCTCCTTGCTGGTTCTGAGAAAACACAGCTTTGGGGGGTTTCCTGCATTTAGCTTTTGAATCTGCTCCCAGTCCCTGCCCTCCTCACCCCTCCTTCCAGTCCTACAGAATACCGATTTCAGGCAGGGGGTACTCCATGAACTCCAGTCCTACAGAATACCGATTTCAGGCAGGGGACACTTCATGAGCTCCAGTCCTACAGAATACCATTTCAGGCAGGGGACAGACACTCCATGAGCTGGAGTTCTACAGAATACATTTCAGGCAGGGGACACTCCACGAGCATGGGCTGCTGGCAGCCTTTAGTTTGCTGGTTTTTTTGTGTTTTTGTTTTTTTTTTTGTTTTATCCTGACAGCTGTAAGATGCTGGGATCCTATCAGTGCCACAGACCTGTAGCCCTAAACTTCTGCCAGAAAGTTCTGTGTATGTTTCTGTCCTAACACAGGGCCTTTCTCAGTGTCTCAGGAACAGGTTTGGTACTGTCAGCTGAGAATCTCCAGGAGACTGAGCTACATAAATCAGAAGGGACAACAGCGGTCGTCAAGTCCCCCGAGCCTCTTTCATGTTCACAGAATTCAGAAAGTGGATACATAAATGTGACTTCTCTGAAAGAGACACACAGCATGCAGGAGGACCAAAAGCCAGGACTATGACATCACTGGTGTCTAAAACAATCCTGACTGAACCTCCTAACTCAGAGCACGGATAGAAAAGGTGCACATTGACCTGGAAAAGCCTCACAGAACCCCCGGGACAGCAGCAAGGGGTCTTCAAAATTGCTGATCGAACAGTCATTAAAAACTTTCTAAAAACAGAGTTATTGTTTGTTTGATATACCCATTGATACTGATTTTTTTTCTTTTTACTTTGTGTGCATTGATGGTTTGTCTGCATGTGTCGGAATGCCCTGTGCATGAAGGGCCAGAAGCGGGTATTGGTTCTCCTGAGACTGGAGTTGCTGAGAGCTGTGAGCTGTCATGTGGGTGCTGGGAATCGAACCCCAGCCCTCTGGAAGAACAAGTGTTCCTAACTGCTGTAACACCTCTCTACCCCTAAGAAAATAATTAAAAAAAAAAAAAAACTTGTATAATACTCCACCAGACAAGATTAATGTCTAGTAAGCACAAAAAAATGTTCTCAGCATTGGTCATGGTGGGAAAGGGATTAGCAGATAGTGAATAAACTCACCGTTTAGACCGTGCAAAAGAAAAGTTTACTTAGTACTTTGCAGGGGGCAATGGAGTGGACAGTAAGAAGAGTACACTTGTAACTTAACCATTCTTATCAAAACACATTTCATTTTGGAGTTAATCTCTTATTCAAATATGGTTTTGTTTGGGGACTTTTGAGACAATATCTCATGCAGCCCAGCTGAGCCTCAAATTTGATGGGCCAGAAGATGACCCCAAACTCCTGATCTTCCTACCTCCACCTCCAAAATACTGGGGTTGCAAGCATGTTCCACCACACCCTGCTAATACATGTATTTTTATTTTAAATTTTTATTAGATCTTTGAGAACTTCATACAGTGTGTTTTAAGTATAACCATCCTCTCCCCCAAATCCTCCCAGACCCACCTCCCTACCCCACACAGCCAACTGAAAGCTCATCCACACCAGTTTGTGCTGCTCACATGCTCACATGTGTGGCCTTCCAAAGAAGCATGAATGATTTAGCAGTTGCTACACCATTAATGAAAAATGATTCTCCCTCTCCCGGCAGCTATCAATTGCCAATAGCCCCTTGAAGTAAGTATTATTTTTAAACATTTTTATTTTATGTACATTGGTGTTTTCCTGTATGTCTGTGTGAGAGTTCCAGATCCCCTGGGACTAGAGTCACAGATAGTTGTGAGCTGCCATGTGGGTGTTGGGAGTTGAACCCGGGCCGTCCAGAAGAGCATTGAGTGCTCTTAACTGCTGAGCCATCTCTCCAGTCCTGAAATAAGTATTTTTTTTAAGTAGCCATTATCATATTATACATTCACTTTAATACTGTTTTTTTGTGTGTGGATGTCCATGTAGAGGTGAGGATTCAACACCAAATACCTTCCTTGATCTCTGTGGTTTTTAGGATTAATATTTCTGTGTGTAAGTGCACATGTGTGTGTCTGTGCACACATGTGCAAGCATTGAGGCCAGAAGAGGACATCAAGTGTCTTCCTCTATTATTTACCACCTATTACTTTGAGGCAGAGGCTCTCTCTGAACTTGGGGTTCATATTTTCTCAGCTAGGTTGGAAGCCAGTAAACCAGGGAACATCCTGCCTCCACCCTCCTTGGAGCTGAGATTACAGGTATGTGCAGGATATCCAGTTTGTCACATGAGCGCTGGGGTGCTCTGGTCCTCCTGAACCCATCTATTGAGCTCAAATTCCAAAAGGATATTGCAAACCATGTATGTAATCCCAGCATTTGGGAGGCTGAGGTAGGAAGACAGTGAGTTCAAAGCCAGCCCGTGCTACACAGCAAGACTGCCTAAAACTAAAAAAAATAATAATAAGATGAAAAAAATACTTCAGAAAAGACATAACCTGTATCAAGGCCCTAAAGGATGTAGCAATCTAATGTCCTCCACAATAGAGGTAGAAACGGTAATTGGTAAGAGTGGTACGAGATGAAGCTAGGTAGTGGGGGGCGTTGGGGGGCGTTCTACTTCTCGGTCTTAGCTACGAGTGGTGGCAAATCGGTGGCATTTAGGGTTTCATATATACAGCTGATTTACTTTAAATATGCAAAGCCCCACACGATTTACAAGCACAAAGGTATTTAAAATTGCAACTCCGTGGGAAATGAGCTGGAAGCTTGTGGCAGAAACGAATTTACATTTCCAGCATCCTGAACGCGCCAGCCTATGTACCAGACCATTTTAAAATATGGAGCGTGACCCAGAGGGTCCTCCTTTCGTGAATGCCCCTTCAGGGGACTGCGGCAGGGGACACCAAGTGTGACGGCTCAGCAAATGCTGTCTGCGGGAAATTCATTTGTATTGCACTAGTACAGTCATGCGAGTGGGGAGCCCGCCGCCTTTGGCAAGGATGCCTGCGCTTCCTTGCTTCTTGCCTGCTCTTCCTCGCTCCTGCACACTCTTCCCTCTTCCAGCCTCCCCTAAGAACCGACCCGCTCGCTACAACGCACGCTTCAGAGTTCCCCGCAGCCCGCGCCGCACTTCCGGGGGCGGGGCCCAACCACGGTCGGTTTCCACTGCGCCGGAGCTTTGGATGAATTCCGCAGGGCCGGTCACCGGAAGCTGAGCTTCTACTTCCGGGTCAGAGCCATGGCGGTGGCAAATTCAAGTCCCGTTAACCCAGTGGTCTTCTTTGATGTCAGCATTGGCGGCCAGGTGAGGTGCGGGCGGCCCAGCGGCCCTGCGCGGGCGGGCAGGACTCGGGTGGGGGAGGCAGCCGGGGGAGCCCTTCTAGCCCTCCCGAGACAGGAGGGCTGGACCAGGGCGGCGGAGGTGGGAGCTTCCGAGCTGCTTGGGCTGAGGTCCTGGGCTCAGCCTGGCGTCTCCCGTCGCTTGCAGGAAGTTGGTCGCATGAAGATCGAGCTGTTTGCAGACGTGGTGCCTAAGACGGCAGAGAACTTTAGGTAAGGAGATGCGCCAACTGAACCAGAGTAGCTGAGCCTGAAGCCGGCCTTTGCAACGTCTGCCTCTGTCCATCCGTTCACTGCCTCGGAGCTCTGTGTTCTGGGTATTGCACTGGCCGAATAGCTACCGGGTTTGACCATTCCCATGCCAATTTATGTTACTAGTCTACATGCCTGCATGCCCTGACATCCGGCCGACCAGTTAGTGGACTTGCTGGCCCCTTTGTTTGTACCCTCCTCTCCTGAGATTAGAGATGCTCCAAGCAGTGATGGCATGGTGACTGAATCGTTCACTCTTTCTTTCCTTTTAGGCAATTCTGCACTGGAGAGTTCAGGTCAGTCTCAGATGTGTTTGATCTCTCCTCATACTCCTGAAGGGTGTCCTAGGAGTTTGGTGAGGATATTGGGGAACCATGGGCAAGTCTTGAGTGATGGAAAACGATATTCAGAGGGTATCTCCTTCATTGATGTGTCCTTTAGCTCACTTCTGTCCAGATCTTTATGAGAGTCCTTTTAGCCTCCAGTGTGTCCTAAACGGGAAGACCCCTGATTATTTGTCATCACTCCAAGTCCCTTTCTTTTTGGTTACAGAAAAGATGGTGTTCCTATAGGATACAAAGGAAGCACCTTCCATAGGTAAGGCTTTTGGCAAATGAAAATGCAGTTGTTGCTTGGTATCTGTACAAGCTATCCTGAACACCTGAGTGCAAAACCTATGGAGGATTAAGTGTGTTATTTAAAGGCTCATGTTCAGGGCTGAGGATGTAGCTTGGCAGAGAATTTGCCCAGCATGCATGAGGCCCTGGGTTCAATACTCAGCACCATGTAGCCTGTGCACAACTCTCTGTTCACCTAAAGTCATTCCTAGACTCTTGGTAATACCAGATTGTAGAAACGATGGCAGGGAAAACACTCTGGGTCGCTTTGGTTACAGGTGCATTTCCAGATGCTTCTATACCCAGCTTTTATGTGGGACCTGGGGATCTGAACTCAGGTCCTCATGCTTCATAGCAAGGACTTTACCCACTGAGCCATCTCCCTGGCTCCAGGTTATGATTTTAGTAGAGACTTTTGTAGTAATTAGTGTGATCAGGCAGCAGTCTGTAGGAACCTGGCCTTCATGAACTCCTGGCTTTCTGTATTCACCTGTTTTTCTTAGTGTTTGATAGAAGTTGCTCCACTTTAATCCTGAAATTTTTCATGTCGCCCATAGCAGGGGCTTTAGAGCTGTGGTCTTTAAGCCATCCCAGCATTCTTGTGAACATGTGTTATCCTCATTCTTTAAGGAAGGAAACTGAGGCTAAGAAAGGCTAAGGACTGTGCCTAGGTTTAGTAGCTTACATTGCCCTGTGTGTGTAGTAGTCCATTTCACATGTATTTGCTGTTGCTTTTCCCCAAAATTTGCATTAAGCCCTCGTCATGTTTTTTTTTTTTAAAGATTTATTTATTTATTATGTATACAGTATTCTGTTTGCATGTATCCCTGAAGGTCAGAAGAGGGAGCCAGATCTCATTACAGATGGTTGTGAGCCACCATGTGGGTGCTGGGAATTGAACTCAGGACCTCTGGAAGAGCAGCTGGTGTTCTTAACCTCTGAGCCATCTCTCCAGCCTCTCGACATGTTTTTTGCTTTGGCAAATCTGTTGTTATTTCTTCCTGCCAGGTTTCAGCCCCTTTCTGTGGTTCGGGTGCTAACTCATACACCTTAGATCAACACAAAGATGCCCCTGACATTAAAAAAAAAAAAACAAACTTTATGGTTCATAATCCCTCTGCTTGCTCACTCCAGGGGTGAAGACTCATTCTCTAAGCCACAATGATAAACATTGTACTTCAGGAAAAATGCTAACCTACCATGTCAGTGACTAAACCACAGAATCCTTCCCTCAGGATATTTTTTTTTTTTTTAACTGTTTCAGGGTCATAAAGGATTTCATGATTCAGGGTGGAGATTTTGTTAATGTAAGTACTGCTTTTTTTCTTTGCTATTCTTCCTATAGGGCCCCAGTTTTGAGATTTAAGAATAATAACTAAGTTAAGTGGAAAGAGCATGGACATGGGGATGTACTGTAGCACTACTGGCTACCACTGACTGTGCCCTTAGAATACATTTCTATACTAAACTGAATCATTAACTTCCATTGTCCAAAATGAGCTTTTTGTAACCAGAAATTGGACTTTACTAGTCTACCTAAAGATGATCTGAGACAACCCACATTCATTGTTCATAGGAAACTTTAAAATTAGCTGCAATTTTTCCCCCAAAAGAAAGTGAGCTGACTGCTTACGCCCCATTTTCCCTTCCACTTCTCATGTCACTGTCAGAAACTCTGTTTGCTTCTGTGGGTCTTCCTTTCCTTTTTCCTTTGGAAAGCTGAGGTTTTGACCGCAAGCCGTTTAGTGGCAAGGGATCAGACCAGGATGGGCAGGTGGTTCGAAGGCTGTTTGTTCTGCTTGCTGAGGTACCCAGGGATCCCGTCTTCACTGCTGACTATGGCTCTTTTGTGACCACGCTGTTTGTGTCCCCATCCCAGCTTTAGAGTGTGCCCAGTAAGCTAGGATTTTCTCTTAACCCACTTTCCCTTAGGCGCCCACTTCTGTGCATGCTGCTGCTTTACTGTTAAAATTGCTTAGTTGGGTATGTTGCAGCTCCTTGTGTCTGAGAGACAGTCTTTCTCGATTCCTGTGAGTTTTTAAAGCTCTTACTCCCCCTACGTAGGGTTCTAATGGCTGAATCCTGCTGTCACCTGTGCTGCGGTTCCATTGTGTGGTTCTATAGAACTGGGAAATCGGGGGACTGGAGAGTGGCTCAGCAGTTCCGAGCACCTCACTGGTCTTCCAGAGGACTGGAGTTCCTGGCTCATAACTGTCTGCAACTCCGTTTCCAGAGTATCTGACACTTCTGGTCTCTGTGGGCACCTAAACTTATATGCATGTACCCATACCCCCCCACACACACACACACCAAACACATAATTAAAAATAATACAAATAAATCATTTTTTTTTTTTTCGGTTTTTCGAGACAGGGTTTCTCTGTGTAGCTTTGTGCCTTTCCTGGAACTCACTCTGTAGCCCAGGCTGGCCTCGAACTCACAGAGATCCGCCTGGCTCTGCCTCCCGAGTGCTGGGATTAAAGGCGTGAGCCACCACCGCCCAGCTAATAAATCATTTTTTAAAACTCGGAAATTTGCTGGGTGGTGGCGGCAGAGGTGGCACACGCCTTTAATCCCAGCACTTTGGAGGCAGAGGCAGGCGGATCTCTGTGAGTTTGAGGATAGCCTGGTCTACAGAGTGAGTTCCAGGACAGCCAGGACTGTTACACAGAGAAACCCTATCTCAAAAAATCAAAAAAATCAAACAAACAAAAAAGACTGGGAAATTTGGGGGTCAGAAAGATGGCTCAGAGATTAAGAGCACTGGTGGCTCTTCCAGAGGACCCAGGTTTGATTCCCAGCACCTATGTGTTCGCTCATAGCCATCTGTAACTCCAGCTCCATGAATTTGAAAAACAATAAGAAGGGGTACATGGAAGGGTTTAGAGAGAGGAAAAGGAAGGGGAAATGATGTGATTATAATCTCAAATTAAAAAAAATATTTTTTTAAATAATAATAAATCTTAAAGAGAAAAAAAAGCTAGGGTGCAACAGTGTTTCTTCCCCCCACCCACCCAGTGTCTGTGAGCTCGAGTGGGCACGCAGGTGTGCAAGCTTGTGTGTGATTCAGTTTGCAAGCCTGTGGAAGTGGTGTGGAACCCAGAGGAAGATATCGGTGTTCTCTATCAGGCACTTACTGCCTTGAGACAAGGTCTCAGTACGTCAGTTGCTGCTTGGTTCAGCAAGGGTAGCTGGCTGGCTAGCACTCAGTATCTGCCTGTCTCCACCTCTTAATGCTGGAGTAGAGGCATGTACAGCCATGCCTGGCTTTTCTCTTTTCCTTCCTTCCTTCCTTCCTTCCTTCCTTCCTTCCTTCCTTCCTCCCTTCCTTCCTCTCTTCCTTCCTCCCTCCCTCTCCCTCCCTCCCTTCCTTCCTTCCTCTCTTTTTTAGATGTGTGTGCTAAGGATTTGAACTCAGGTTCTCTGGATAGCAAGCAGTTTTACCCATTGAGCCATCCTCCCCAGCCCTGTCAGTATTCTTCCTCTGGTTCCCAGGGTGCCCAGCACTCCAGGCCACTAACATATCTCTTCTCTACTCAGGGAGATGGTACTGGAGTCGCTAGCATTTACCGCGGTCCATTTGCAGATGAAAATTTTAAACTTAGACACTCAGCTCCAGGCCTGCTTTCCATGGTAAGTGAAGTTCAGTTAATTTTTGGGGGGTTAGATGAATAGCAGGTTCCTAGCGCCTTGTTGAGGCGCAGCTCTGTCTCTTGGAATCAGAGCAAGTCTTCTCTTGCTTCAGTCAGGCCTCACCTGCCCCTCCCCCTCCTTCCTTAATCTGGTTTGATGGTGTTGGGCAGGGTCTAACAGCTCTAGAGGGGAACTGAGCTCTGACTTGTGTTGTTGCCTTTATTTGCACTGAGATGTGTGATTGGGCTCTTAGCCTCTGTCCAGTGGGCTGCCACCTGCTTATTGCCCTGATTGCTGCAATTTACTACTCACTGCGGTAGCTGCATGCCGGCCACTCACCTGCTTTTCTCCCTCCCCATGCCCATCATTCCTATACCCACATCCTGATGGCTCTCCCCCATTTCTGATCCCTGCTCAGACTCCCTGGTGCCTCTGCTCATTGCTTGCCCACTTCACCTTGCTCACCCTCACTGCTCCTTCCCACTGCTCCCCTCTTTTCTCCCTCACTTCCCACTCCTACGAGCAACCCCTCCATCAGTGCCCCAATTCTCACCTCCATGGGCCCAGTGTTTACATGTGCATTCTCTATACTGCTTGCCTTCTTCACCATCTTCTCAGGTTCATGAAATGAAAGATTTGTTCACAGCTGCTCCATTTCAGGCACAAACACGATCCCTGCCATTGTTACATGTACCGTCTAACAACAAACACACATGCAGGTGACCAGCCCAGGACAGGATGCTTTGTGCCGTCAGTGTAGTACATCAGTGAGGACACCCTGGTGTACCTAAAAGGACCCTAATGGACTAGAGAAATGAGGGTGGTTGCCGCTAGAAATGAGAGAAGCCTTCCTAGAGGGGGAGATCTGCGTCCCTACCGGAGTTCTGTACACAGTGCCCTAGGAAGAAAGCATTTGAGGTCTAGCAGACAGGCTCTGCACAAATCCAAACCATGCAGAAGCACAGTGGCTTAGTCAGGGACAGGGCAGGTCGTGTTTGCTTTGCTTGATTCTGTTCTGCTTTTGTAGTGCTGGAGATGAAACCCAGGGGCTTGTGCTTGCTTGGCTCTATCCTAGCCCTGTACAATTTTTTATTTATTCTTTTTGTTTGGTTTGCTTTGTTTTGAGACAGGAGCTGACCGTGTAACTCTGACTGGCCTGGAATTTGCTATGTAGACCATGCTGGTTTCAAACTCAAATAGATCTACCTGCCTCTATGTCTGAGTGCTAAGATTAAAGGTGTGTGCCACCACACCCAGCTTATTTATTCTTATGAGTGTATGTATGTGTATGATGTGTAGGTTTTACATCCCCACAGTGTGTGGGTGCGTGTAGGTCAGAAGACAACTTTTGGAAGTCAGTTCTCTGCTCTCTCCTTTATGTGGTCTCCAGGGGTTAAACTCAGGTTGCCAGACTTGCGGGGCAATCGCTTTACCCCTGAGCCCTTTGGCCGGCCCCTCAGCACACTTTTTACTTTTCATTTTGAGGCCCGATCCCATTTCATTGCTTAAGATGACCTTGAAGTCTTTCTGTGTCCCAGGGAGCCCCTGAGCTTGCAATCCTCCTGCCTCAGCCTCCAAAGTAGCTGGGCTGACAGGCCTGCACCACCACAGCCATCTGTAGCATCCATCTCCTTGTGAGTTCTTCAAAGGCAGGGACAGAGCTCTCAACCTCAAGGCCCTCGTGCCTACCACAGAAAGATGCAGAGCGGTGACAGAAGAGTCCAGAAAGATAGCCAAAAGTTATTGGCACTTAGAGCATCTGCCCTGTTTTAATTCAGAACATCCCTTTGAGATAATGAACAAACTGAGGCACAGGCAGGTGGTTAGCAGTGAACCAAGGTCACACAGCCACTGATGAAGTTCTGGGATTCAAGGTGCATCATCTGCTGCAGGGCTCTTCCTTGAACATAGCTACACCACCAGGAAAAATCAGGTGTCCATGGGAACAGAGGATCCCTGAGACAGAAATGCTGTATGACTGTTACTGTGTCTGTTTGCTAGCAAATGATTACATAAGAACAGCAGGGTAGAGAGGAGAGGAGTGTGGGCCCTGGGATTGTGCCCCATTCCAGAGCAGAGTCTGCTCTAGCTGGCTTGTCGGGGCAGGAGGGTGTCCTTACTCTCATACATGAGGTGTTCAGGGAATCCATGTGCAAGCGTGGTTTTTCTTTTCCAGCATGATCACACTGTATAGCCCTGACTCACCTGGAAGCTCCATAGATGAAGCTGGCTTCAACTTGCCTCTATCCTCCTGCTTCTGTCTCCTGACTGGTTAGCTTACTAGCATGTGTGAGGTCTTGAGTTCAGTTCCCAGTGCAGTTAAAGAAAGGAAGGACGAGCCGGGCGATGGTGGCGCACGCCTTTAATCCCAGCACTCGGGAGGCAGAGGCAGGTGGATCTCTGTGAGTTCGAGGCCAGCCTGGACTACCAAGTGAGTTCCAGGAAAGGCGCAAAGCTACACAGAGAAACCCTGTCTTGAAAAACCAAAAAAAAAAAAAAAAAAAGAAAGGACAAAGGGATTTCCAAAGGGTAGTGTACAACCCAGAGTAGAGGCGACTGCAGCCGCCGGCTTTGATGTTGGCCCGTACTTCCGCGTGAACACTCACTGGCCATTTCGGATCCATCCAGCATCTGATTACAGCTGGTGGCCCACTCAGTGTGAGTTCTGCTCTTGCCTTGGTAATAGTGTTCTATAAAGCCTCCCTCCCTGCCCCCCAGGGTGGCATTGAACTTGTGGTTCTCCTCCCTCAGCCTCGCCGTTCTGGGATCACAGGCACAGACTTCTGTGTCCAGCTTTGTGTTTCTTTGAGTAACAACGCTTTCACTTTTCCGCTTTCTAGCTCTCTTTTCCCCAACGATCTTCCTGTAATTTCAGACACTGTTGTAAGGCAGCGCTGTGGGAGCTCATCTTAGTTTGTTGATGTATCAAAGTCCAGATTTAGCAAAAGGCATTTATGATTCTAGCCTGTTCTTTTATAGTACATTATTGAATACATGGGTGTAAAAATTATTTTGGAACTGGGCTTCAGTTGAAACATATACTTATGACCTATGTTCTTGGGGGGCTGAGGCGGAAGGAGCTTGAGTTGAGGGCAGTTCTGTCTCAGGACCAGGGATATAGTCACTGGTAGAGTGTTTGCCTAGTGTGAGGCTTCAGTACCACAAAACAAGGAAGACAAGGCTGTGTGGTAGCTCACTCTTGTAATTCTGAAACTCAGGAGGCTGACCTCTACAGCCTGGGCTACCGAAATGAGACCCTATTTTGGGTGGAGAGGGAGGGGCAGACAAAATGAGACTGCCTCTGAGAAGACGATTTCGAGGGAAGAAAGGGAAAAGATGTGGCTACAGTTTCAGATTCTCAGCTGGGCTGGGCTGGGCTGTGGTTCAGAATGACCCTAGTAAGCGAGTGCGTCTATACTCCCCGCACTTGGGAGACTGTGGGAGGAGTAGCAGTCGATAAGCCCAGCCTTAGGTACATAATGAGTTCCAGGACAGTCTGGGCTACATGAGACCTTCTCTCAACCCCTTCCTGCCTTCCCTGAAAAAGTAAAAAATATATTGCAAAACCACTTCAAACCCCTGATTTCCTAGGCAGAGTGTCTTTTCTTAGCTGATAACTAATTTGTAAGTATAATCCAGTTGTAACTAGTATGCACTAAATACACTAAGTCCTGTAAGGAGGGAAAGGAAGGTGTAGTCACACAGCTCAGCAAGTAAAGACAAGGGTTAAAGACACCTGCCACACCTGCCTGAGTTCAGTGCCAGCCCCATGTCCAAGTGGAAGTGGAGAAGTAACTCCACAAAGCTGTTCTCTGACCTCACACATCACACACACACACACACACACACACACACACACACACACACACACACACACTTATTAAAAAATGTAAAAGAAAGAGGCAGAAGGGGGCCATTAGGGAAAAGTAAGGGAACCAGCTAGAGCATGAGAGGATGTAGGGGAAGAGAATAAATAAGAACAATATAATAAATGTACAGATGAAAACTGAAAATGCCATAATTAAAGCCGCTACTCTGTAAGCTAACCTAAAACTTAGTTAAATCTTGTGTTTGCTTGTTTTAAATGAACCGTCATTCCCATTACAAACCTAGGGGCTCAGCAGGTAAAGGTGCTTCCCACCAAGTCTGATGCCCTGAGTTCAAGCCCCAGGACCCATGTGGTGGAAGGAGAGAGGCCTGACTCCTACAGAATCTGACGCTGAGGAAATTGTTCATTGATTGAAGAATTTAGATCCTCAAGGGTGGAGACTCTGTGTCCTGTTTATCCATGTGTCCTTGTCTAGGCCTGGGCTCATAATAGGTACTCAGTTAGGTTGCAGTTAGAGCTGCAGACTTTATGGGAAATCTTGCCCTTCACCTAATACAGCCAGAGAAACTTACTACAGGTGTATTTGGTTCCTCTCAGGCAAACAGTGGTCCGAGTACAAACGGCTGCCAGTTCTTTATCACATGTTCTAAGTGTGATTGGCTGGATGGGAAGCACGTGGTGTTTGGTAAGTCTTGCTCCCACCCCGTCTGTCTCGGCCCGCCACATTCTCCACACTTACTAAGTGTGCTCAGCTGCTGTAGCTGCTCTAGGCTAGGACAGATGGACATGTGGGGATGGCTAGGGCAGATGGACGTGTGGGGACGGCTAGGGCAGACGGACATGTGGGGACGGCTAGGGCAGACGGACATGTGGGGACGGTTAGGACAGATGGACGTGTGGGGACGGCTAGGGCAGATTGACGTGTGGGGACGGCTAGAACTCACGGAAAAGACAAGGGCATTCCAATAACTACACATGAAATCAATAAAGATGCCCTGAGGCAGCATGGAGGAGTGTGGCTTTGGGGTCCCTCAGACCCAAGCCTGTACCCTAGTTTCCTGCGTGTATTCCTTGTGACTTTGGGCAAGGCAGCTCACCTCACTGAACCTCAGTTTCCTTACCTTGTAAGAGGGCCTGATGAGATGCCAGCTGAGAACGGGCACTGGGAGCTGGGAGCACTACCAGCACCAGGAAGGAAGCCTTAACTTCATGTTCTTCCTGCAGGAAAAATCATTGATGGACTTCTGGTGATGAGAAAAATCGAGGTGGGTCCTGCTTGGGGATCCTCATAGCCTTTCTGGTCAGGTACCTTCTGCCTGTTAGTGAGGAGCAGGGTAAATGGGCTGCAGTTCGCTAGAGACTGGTCACTGTCTGCGGTTACTGGCTCCTCTGGGAGAGAGGAGAGGCCAGGCTTCCTTGGCCCCATTCATTAGCCTGTCCAGTGCATACTTGGGTTTGGCCTCTGAGCCTGATGCCCACTTGATAAAATCCACTTCCTGGCATTGCATTCATCATCCTTTGTGACCTGTCCCCTGCCTACCCCTCCATGACCCCTCCTGCCACTGCCTCTCTGGTCCAGTGGTATCCAGCCCCTGGCTCCTCCCTAAAGAGGTTGGCCATATAGGTGTGTGCCTCCTGCGCTTCCCTGCCCCAAGTGTTGGCTCCAGTCCTTCTCTACCTGAAGAGTTCCTTCTTTGGGATCTTACCTTCCCTTCCTGGCCCAGTTCAGATGCCCCCTCTTTTGTGACTTCTCCATAAGCAGGGTCCCTGGTCAGTGCTCTTCTGACCCGCCAAATTGTTGCATTGTGGGGCTGCGGCCTCTAGGTGTTAACTTTACCATCTGTCAGGACACACTCCACATCAGTCTGATCTTGGGCCCTTCCTTAGAGGATAGAAACAAGGCAGTGAGCAGGTGCCTGAGTGCATCTCATGTTCTTGTGCTTTGTTTTCTAGAATGTTCCCACAGGCCCTAACAATAAGCCCAAACTGCCAGTGGTAATCTCACAGTGTGGGGAAATGTAATCTTGACCAAGACTGAACCTGGTAAGTGATCTCTTCTCGCTGGTTAGGAAAAGGAATCATGGCTTGAGGGAGTCTTTCCACTCACAGATGTGGATTGAGTCCATTTCCTCTGCATGTGACCCTGGAGCAGGCACTCCTCAGGGCATGTTTCCTCAGCTCTCAGGAGAGGATGTCAACCTGAGGGTCACTGTGAGGAGCAGAAGGGAGGACGCTGGGAATACTCTTTTTCCTGCTGATTCATCAGTGTCCCCTTGAAGGACCTGACTCCCAGGTGACTGCACTGGGAGCAGCCTGGTGTCCAGTCCTGGGACGGGGGCCCCACAGGCTCCTTTCACAGGCTTCCTTCCTCTGGATACTTGCCCCTGGCTGCTCTGCCCTGGGGCCTTCTGAAAAAGAACTGAGAGGCACTCCCAGGAGAGAATTCAGCTCTGAGGTGAATGATAGTCATCTGAGTGACTTTCGGGTTACACACGCTAGGGAAAAATGGTCAGTCCACCTGTGCAAGAGGTCGTGGTGTTTCATTTGCCTTTACAAGTTTTTTCAAACCCACAGAAAATCTGGAAAACTGTTGACTGATCACCCACAGCCTCACAGCTCGGGTCCCCAGTGGTGGACATTTGTGGCTGTCCTCTCCTTTCTTTCCTGCCCTCGCTGCCTCTCATTCTCATTCTAAAACTGCAGACCTCTTGACACTTCACCCTTGAGCATGTGAGCAAGGAGCCCCTAAAAATAAAACTAATTCATAAGGCTAAATAAACAGAATGAGCCGGGCGGTGGTAGCGCACGCCTTTAATCCCAGCACTTGGGAGGCAGAGCCAGGCGGATCTCTGTGAGTTCGAGGCCAGTCTGGACTACCAAGTGAGTTCCAGGAAAGGCGCAAAGCTACACAGAGAAACCCTGTCTCGAAAAACAAAAACTAAATAAATAAACAAACAAACAAACAAACAAACAAACAGATTGATACTCGTAATACGTGGTGCATTTTCAAAATTACCAATTGTCTCCAAAGTAACTGAAATCATACAGAAGTGTATTTTTTGTAGTGCTGGGGATTGAACCAAGCTTTGTGCATTCAAGGCAAGTACACAACCACTGACCTGCACCTCGGTGCCACTTTTATAGACACACACACACACACACACACACACACACACACACACACACACACACACACACGGCTGTCCTGACCAGACATGCTGGTGTACCCCTGTAGTCCCAGCTACTTGAAAGGCTGAGGCAGGAGGATCACCTGAGACCAGCCAGCATAAACCTTTCCCCAGCATCCTTGTAGTTCCTTGGGTTGTTTTGGTTTGGTTGGTTGTTTTTTTTAGTGCGCATGAGTGTTTTCCTGCATGTATGTTTATACACCACTTGTATGCCTGGTGCCCACAGATGCCAGAAGAGAGCATCAGAGTTATAAGTAGTTTTCAGCCACCACGTGGGTGCTGGGAATTGAACCTGGGTCCTCTGCAAGAGCAGCAAATGCTCTTAACCACTGAGCCATCTCTCCAGCCCCTGGTGGTTTATTTTTAATTGCGCAAGTAATACAGAACAGTTTATATGTGAAAACTTTAACACCAAAGTGATAAAGGAGAAGCTTTTCTTCCTCCCCAGAAGTCACTTCCGTGTCAGTTTGAAATGTGTTCACCTTTCTTTGTCAGTCTGCTTTTGGGAAGAGTGTTTCTTCCCAGATGACGAATGCTATGTTGTTTCTCCTGCCCTTTCTCCCTCTTCTTTTTTGTTGTTGTGTATGTGTCTGTGTATGGGTGTGTGCATGGGAGTTCATGTGCCCGAGGAGGACAGAGGACTTGGATCATAGGTAGGTAGTTGTCAGCTGCCCAGTGCGAGTGCTGAGTCTCCTGTAAGAGTAGTGAGTGCCCTTAACCACTGAGCCATCTCGTCAGTCCTTTGGGGGTTTTTGTTTGTTTGCTGGTTTTTGTCTCTTCGTATTTGACATCACGTCTTGAAAACTTTTCCTTTTTAGTTCATATAAAACTAACTTATGTTTAAAAAACAAACAGCTGGTGTAGTGAAATGACTCCTTGGATAAAAGTATTTGCCATGTGGTCCTGAGTTTGAGTCCCAGATCCCACCATGGGAAAGAGCCAACTTCCACAAGTTCTCTGATTTCCACATGGGTACCATGCATGCATACCCACATACTTTTTTTTTGAGGGGAGGGACACATGGCTTCTCTGTGTAACCCTGGCTGTCCTGGAACTCACTCTGTAGACAGGCTGGCCTGGAACTGAGAGCCATCTGCCTCTGCCTTCCGAGCACTGGGAAAAAAGGTGTGTGCCACCACCAGCTAGCTAAAAAAATGCCAGCACTTGAGAGGCAGAGACAGGTGGATCTCTGAGTGAGTTTGAGGCCAGCCTGGGCTACAGAGTTCCAGAACAGTGAGGGCAACACAGAGAAACCCTGTCTTGAAAAACAGAGAGAGAGAGAGAGAGAGAGAGAGAGAGAGAGAGAGAGAGAGAGAGAGAGAGAGAACGTTTTAATTTAAATCTTTAAAAAAAAATAAAAACCTTAAATTATATGCTATAAGACATTTCTACCGGGGCTGGAGAGATGGCTCATTAGTTAAGAGCATTTACCACTCTCACAGAGGACTCAGCACTCATACTGGGCAGCTGACAACTGTCCATGACTCCAGTTCCAGGGTACCCGACACCCTCATACAGATATACATGCAGTCAAAACATCAATGTACATAAATAAATAAAACAAAATAAAAAGATATCTCTACCAAGGTTTACTTCCTTTCCATTGTGACTGGTAACTGCATTCTCCAATTGCATTACTTAAGTTTGTTGGTGGTTAAATGGCTCTTGTTTATTTATTTAGATACAGGGTCTCAGGTGTGGCTCTGGCTGGCCTGGAATTGAGAGATCTGTCTGCCTCTGCCTCCAGAGTGCTGGGCTTAAAAGAGAGTGCTTGTCTGTTTTGCTTTTTTGTTTGTTGATATAGAGAGTTTGTAGCCAGAGCTGGCCTGAAATTGGATGTGAAACCAAAGATGACATTCAATCCCTGATCTGTCTCCCAAATGCTAGGATTACAGATGTGGGTCACCAGGCCACCTGTTTGTTTGTTTTCTTTCTATAAGGTCTCTGTAGCTAAGACTGGCCTCAAATCTATAATCCTCCTTCTGCCTCCCAGGGGTGAGATTATAAGGATAGGCCACCCCTCCCTAGTTTACTTGCCTCAGGCTCCTGATTCCTGAGATAAAATATTGTCACACCTAGCTAGATATGGTGGCACACGCCTTTAATTCCAGCACTCAGGAGACAGCCTGGTCTACAAAGCCAGTTCCAGGATAGCCAGGGCTACACAGAGAAATGCTGTCTCAAAAAAGCAAAAAAAAAATTTTAGCTGGGTGTGAGCGCACACCTGTAATTCTGTAATCCCAGCCAGGGAGAGATGGCTAAGAGTGTGACAAGTTTGAGGACTTCCTGGACTTAAGAATGCTTTCAAGGCTAGCCTGACAACTTACTGACTGTATAAAAGAGGGGACAGGTGAAGCCAGGTAAAGGTACTTACTGGCTGTCAAGCTTGTAGACCTGAGTTTGATCCCCGGGACCAACTGGTGCATAGAGAACTGACTCCTGCAAATTTCCCTCTGATGTGCTGTGGCACTCGCACACCCATAAATACATGCACGAAATGAAATAAATAAATGTAATTTTTTTTTTTTTTTTGCAGAGCTGGGTTTGGAGGCTTGCACTCAAAATCTCACCATTTGGAGGCTGAAGCAAGATTGCCACAAGTTTATGGGCAAGCCAGGGCAGCAGCAGCTTAGCCACCAGCAAAAAAGAAGGCTGGGGTGTTGCTCAGGAGCACAAAGTACTCACAGGGTCTGGGTCTGTCTCTACTAAGCAAAGGAAAAGAAAAATATGTAAAGTTCTAATTTGATGGCATCAAGATTATTGGTCCCTTAACGGCTTTCCTGCTTTGTCTTATGTAACTAGCCTTCACTACCTCCAATCATAATAGCCTCTGTGGTAGAGTCTGTACCCTGTGAAATTTCTGTACTTTATCTGTGTACTTAGGAAATGGTATTTATCTATTCATTTATTGTGAGTACCAATGGAGGTCAAAGGACAACTTTCTTAAGTCTGTTCTGTCATGTGAGTCCCTGGGATCAAACTCAACAGCAAGGGTCTTAACCCTCTGGGCCATCTCATTGGCCTGGAGTCTTGTTCCATTTTTGAGACAGGGTCTCTCCTCAACTGGCTTGTCTCCAACTCACAGAGATGCCTGTCTGCCTCCTGAGTGCTGGGATGAAAGAGGTGCGCCAGCGTGGCGTCAGATACAGACAACCCCAGTCACTTATGTATCATCGGTGACCTGCTTGTGCTCAGCATCTGGAATTTACAGGCATTCAGTAACACTTACTGCATGAGGCAGTGGAGAGAAACCAAGCATTTCAGGGAGGGGACTAGAGTGAGCAATGCTGAGGCAGGAATGCACAAGTGCATGCTGGGAGCTACATGTGGACCTTTTTTGCCTAGGCAAATGCTTCCTTCTCAGGCTGAATGGACACCGTGAGTCTTTCTGCCAAGATGGGGGACCCCCGCTCCCGGCTCAACCTGCTCCCCACTTCAAGAGCTACTGACAATTCTCTCCTGGTTTCCCTCATTTCTTTGATGTCACTAATGATGAGTTCATAAGCTGATCCCTGATCATCACTAGATGATAGAAGATTACAAAAAGACTCAAAAAACATTAGGAAATGTAAAGCCTACCTAAAAATTTAGGTCTCTCTTACCTTACCAGCTTTCACCCTGTGAGGTTATGCTTGGCAGTGGTCCCTGCGGCCATTGCCTCTCATCCCATGAGGGTGCCCCACTTTGCTTTGTAATAAATTCTCTTTCACATACACATACAGAAGATGAAATTTAAAAACTTGATCAGGCCGGGTGGTGGTGGAGGTGCATTCCTTTAATCCCAACACAGGGCAGAACTAGGTGGATCTCTGAGTTTGAGGCCAGCCTGGTCTAGAGAGTGAGTTCCAGGACACCCAAGGCTACACAGAGAAACTCTGTCTGGGTGAGGGGAAATTGTTCAGGATTTTTTGTTTGTTTTGTTTTGTTTTGTTTTTTTTTTTTTTTTTAAGATTTATTTATTATCTATACAGTGTCCTGCCTGCATGCCTTCACACGAGAAGAGGGCACCAGATGTCATCACAGATGGTTGTGAGCCACCATGCGGTTGCTGGGAATTGAACTCAGGACCTCTGGAAGAACAGTTACTGCTCTTAACCTCTGAGCCATCTCTCCAGCCCCTTGTTTTGTTTTTCAAAACAGAGTTTCTCTGCCTAGCCTTGGCTGTCCTGGAACTCACTCTGTAGACTAGGTTGACCTTGAACTCAGAGATCCACCTGCCTCTACTGAGTGCTGGGATTAAAGGAGTGTACCACCACTGCCCAGCTCAGGAATTCTTTATGTTAAGGGCACAGGAATTCTAGCTTTGTGATAGGGTCCTTGCCTGACTCTAGTTTCAATGTCCAACACCATAAGAAGCAACAAAACAAAACCCAACCTTTACATTACAGAACTGGAAAGCCTTGTTGGGGACTCTAAGAATCATTAGCCTGCCTCTCCACTATTAGCAAAAGCCATTTAGCTCTTTGTCAAAGTCCCTCTTGTAGCCCAAGTGGGACATATTCCTCAGTGGTCGTTCACATACCAGAGGCCCTCTAGACAGCCCCTTTCTGTGGTGATGGAGATGCCTGTGTCTGTACCCTAGATAGAATAGAGCTAGTTGCTAGCTGTGTGTGGTGATCAAGCATGTGAAACTCGGTTGGTGTGGCTAAGGCTGAGGGAATAGTTTTTTTGGTTAGGTTTGGTTGGTTTTTGTTGTTTTGGCTTTTTTTTTTTTTTTTTTTGGTTTTTCGAGACAGGGTTTCTCTGTGTAGCTTTGCGCCTTTCCTGGGACTCACTTGGTAGCCCAGGCTGGCCTTGAACTCACAGAGATCCGCCTGGCTCTGCCTCCCGAGTGCTGGGATTAAAGGCGTGCGCCACCACCGCCCGGCTGTTTTGGCTTTTTTACCTACAGGGAAGGGAGAAGTTTGAAACAGGGTCTTTTTTTTTTTTTTTTTAGTCCTAGCAGAGCAAGAATTCACTTTGTAACCCAGTCTGGGCTCAAACTGTAGCAGCCCTCCTGTCTCTGCCTCCAAGTACAGGAATTATAAGCATGCACCACTGTGCCCAGGTACATTTTATTTTTGGGACAAGGTCTCATGTAATCCAGGCTGGCCTCAAATTTGATGTGTAGATTAGGATGACCTTGAGCTCCTGATCCTTCTGCCTCCACTCTCTGAGTCCTGGGATTGAAGATATGTGTCATCACATCTGGTCTGTATGGTGCTGGAGATTGACCTCAGAGTTTCCTATGTAATAGGCAAGTGTTTTACCAACTGAACAACACACCCAGCCTCTCCTGAATTTTTAACTTTAATTAATTTTTGTTTGTGTTGTTTGAAACAGGGTTTCTCTTTGTAGCTTTGGCTGTCCTGGAACTCCCTTTGTAGACCAGGCTGGCCTTGAACTCACAAATATCCACCTGCCTCTGCCTCTTGATTGCTGGGATTAAAAGTGTGCACCATCACTGCCCAGCTATTTTACTTAATTAAATCTCAAGAGTTACATGTGACTATAGTGGCTGCCATATTGTATAGTGAGCTCTAGACTTGCGCTCCAATTCAGTCCTCCAACCCTGACTTGCTCAGGCTTGTGCTGTAGCTAATACTTAGGGATATGGCAATGACATCAGTTATCCAGGGTAGCTTCAGCCATTGCGGAGACTGAGAATCACTTGAGCCCAGGAATTCAAGGTTAGCCTGGGCAAAGCATAGCAGTATAGCATAACCACGTTTTGTTTTGAAGGCAAAGTGCTTGCTGAGCAAGCATGAGAGCCTGAGTTCAGATCTCACATAAAAGCTGGGTGTGGAAGCTGGGGAGATGGTTCAGTGGTTAAGAGCATTCCTTGCTCTTACAGAGGATCTGGGTTCATTTCCCAACAACCACATGGAGCTCACAGCTATGCCTAACTCCAGTTCTAGGAAATCTGATACCCTCTTCTGACCTCCTTGGGCACCAGGCACATATGTGGTGCACATACATACATGCAGGCAAAGCACTCATGCACATAAGTTTTTTTATTTATTTATTTTTATTTTATGTGCCTTGGTGTTTTGTCCTGAGTGTTGGGTCCCTGAGCTGGAATTACAGACAGTTGTGAGCTGCCATGTGGGTGCTGGGAATTGAACCCAGGTCCTCTGGAAGACCAGTCCCTGCTCTTAACAGCTGATCCATCTCTCCAGCCCCATAAGTTGTTTTTTGAAACCCCTATCCTCAGTTTTAAGGTGTCAGGAAGTCTAGAGAATGGTCTGCTGTAAAGAGGGCGGTTGGCGGATGGCTGTCCACTTTGAATTTCTTCATAGTGAGACTTGGGACGCATGAAGGGAAATAAGGAATGAGCTGGCGGCCCATCACTTTCCTTTTCAGGTGAAAATGTACAGGCTTCTCTAACCTCCCAAAAGTGTTTGTTTTTGTTGTAGTATTTTATAAGTGTGTCTTGCCTGAGTGTGTATCTTGTGCACTATGTGCGTGCCTGGTGCCCAGGGAGGTTGGAAGAGGAAGTCAGAGCCCCTGGGGTTGTATTTTAAAAACCGCGAGAAAGAGTCACACCATACAACAGGGCCCACATAGGAGGGTTACTGGGGAATGGGAGAGAGAAGGGTGCGGGGACCCGTCCCTGGGGACAAGGAAGGGAAAGAGAAAGGAGATGGGAGGTGTACAGGCCCTCCTTTTATAAGGAAATGCAATGTGCACAGGAAATGCTCTTAGTGGCTGCAGCTGCGGTACATCCTGTCAGAACCCTAAGGGCAGGCCAGTACAAATGCCTAAATGCTAACACCTGGAACTAGAGTTATAGATGGTTGTGAGCTACCATGTGGGGGCTGCGAATTGAACCAGGTCTTCTGGAAGAACAGCCAGTGACTGTTCTTAACCTCTGAGCCATCTCTTTGTGCATCCCCCCCCCCCCCAGTGTTTTTATTATACCTCAGGTTTGTTTTGGGTGGAATAATGGTAAAGAGCCATATAGATAATTTTTTTTTTTTTTTTTTTTTTTTGGTTTTTCGAGACAGGGTTTCTCTGTGTAGCTCTGCGCCTTTCATGGAACTCGCTTTGGAGACCAGGCTGGCCTCGAACTCACAAAGATCCGCCTGGCTCTGCCTCCCAAGTGCTGGGATTAAAGGCGTGCGCCACCACCGCCCGCTCATATAGATAATTTTAAGACCCATTTGCCAATTGTTTGTTGTCCTGTTGGATTTGGGAGGTGGGGAGTGGCTTGTTTGTTTAGAGTTTCAGCCTTCTGAGCATTCAGATCACAGGCATGAGTCACCATGCTGAGCATCATTTCTCATACTTTAATGTACTTCGAATCTCCAGAATAACTTGCTAGAGAGCTAGTTGTGATGAAGTTTCACAGGTAACATTGAGTGGCAAAGCTCAACATGGGGGATGACAGGGTTTGTCCTTTCAAGGAGAAACCTAGCCCAGGAGGTGACATCCTGGTGCTTCAGCAAGAATCACTGTGTTCAGTCTCGCTTCATCACGCAGCTGCACTTGCATGATATTGGCACTGACAATCAAAGATGCCAGAAGAGAGACAAGCACCCTAGATACCAGCAAGGTGTGCCCCCATGAATTGGCCTGTCTGTTGGGTGTGTGACACTGTTCCTTGCTCTGAGAGTGGGAAGCTCTGCCACAAAAGATGTAGAATGTTGGGGTTAGAGAGAGGGCTCAGTGGTTAAGAGCACTGGCTGCTTTTGCAGAGGTCCTGAGTTCAATTCCCAGCAACCACATGGTGACTCCTAACTATCTGTAATGACATCTGGCACCCTCTTCTGGAATGCAGGCAGAACACTGTA